GTATAATGATTATGGTGTTACTTACCAACCTGCCTTTCTACCTTCACAATTGTCCGCCTTTTTACTGATTTAAAGAATTAAACGATATCGTCTGATCTTTAATCAAGCATTCCTTACACACTTTCATTAAATCCAGTATAAATAAATTACCCGCTCTGCAATTCCTATTCAGATTTCTTAACGTTCAAATCTGTTTAAATGTTTCAAATAAAGATGTTGCCGCAGTATAAACATGATCATATCTGAACAAAAAAGATAAAACTTTTCTTGTTTTTTTGCCATACTTTTGAAAATGATACTTCATGGGTAGTTTTGATTTTTATAATGTAAAAATTTATTCATTTTCCGCCCTACTCTATTTCAACCCAGTCAGGTAAATGTAAGACAATACACCCGTATCTGATAGCCTAAAAACAGATATGTATGTCCGGACGTATGTGCATGAAGATATGCGTTTTATCGAGACTTTGTAATTGGTCCTATTTCAAAGTGACTTTATCTTAAACAAGATGACAAACGCATGCGCTGTCCCTTTTCTACATAAACTGATATACTGATTTACTGTAATAAGTATAATAAAGCAATTATTTCAGAAACGACTGTTGTGAAAAGTCAAAACTATAGTTATCACTATACATGTATCTTAACCAATATAATAACATTCTACAATACAAAGTCCTAATTTGCTTTGATTTATCTTTCAAACTATAGCTCGAGCTATTTCATTTCTCATAACAAAATGTCTCCGAGAAAGTTCAACAAGCTAAACTTAAGACTAAATGGAGACACAACTTGAAAACAAATTGCAATGTGTTCAAAAACTGCAGCGCTAGTTATTTTACCTTTTTGTGAAAAGATCAAGGCATTTACACAAACAGAAAACACAAGACGCATCGTTTTTGATTCACTTTACTTTCGCTCAGCACTTTCAAAAATGTGTCCATTATCTACAGAAAACGTAAAGCTTTTTTAAAAAAGGTAAACAATAAAGCAAAAATCAATTGCCTTTTCTTAATTATTCAAAATATATCTAAAAAAATTTACACATTGCATATAATAATTAAGTTGAACTATGCCTTATTTTGTCAACAATATCTCTAACCTGAGATTTGCATACATTTTTTTCGTCTGACTTTTTCTATATAGTCCATTACATTCTTTTTCAGCTTTCTTTAGCGATTGTGACAAACTAACATTTGACGAAAACTTAAAAATGGGAAAAATATAAGAATGGGCTTAAATATACTACAGCCTGCGTTATGAAGAATAATATTATAGGGTCATACGAATAGAGGAAATCATGCTTGACATATGTCGCAGAGAAACAGTTCTTTCCAAGTTTGACTTATGTTTGAACTTAGGTTTTCCTCACAGGAAAAATAAAACTAATAATTATGATATATTATCAAAACCGATAAAGAAAAGAAAATAATTAGTAAACTTTCAGATGGTCTTATTTCTTAATTATAATTATAATTACTTCTTACAATTTAAGTGGAATTTTTGAACACACTTCTGATTTATAGAAATATTTGACAAAAGACGTTGTTTTAAAAAATGTAATCAAAACAATGTGCAAATGCCTCTTATTATTTTTCAGCCGTTACAAAGCTTTATGATCATGATTCAAATTTATATATAAGACAACATTTGTAGAAGAGGAGGGATCTGTGGAAAAATAATTATTTAATGTTGATCAAAGTTCTTTATTTAGATTTATCTTTCACCGAAAGTTATTTTCTGGTTAAGCAACAAGAAAAATGGGTCAAAGAAAGAAAAGGCCGGGTTGCATTTTTATTCCATATATATCATATGGCTGTGATGTTACAAAAATGTTAATCATTTGACTATTTATGTTGAAAATTTAACTAAGTCGGTCAACAGAAAGTGAATGAGCGACAAACCTGAAATAATCGAATCCCATGATATGTGGCAACTAGTTAATGCTGTATGCCAAACATCAAGAGGCTGTGATGAGTAGATGCTAGGAAAACTGTACAAAAAAATCCTACCATTGACCATTTATGTCGAAAATTTAACTAAGTCGGTAAACAGGAAGTAGATGAGCGACATATCTGAAATCGAATTCCACGGTACGGGATCACAAGTTTATGCTGTATATTAAATATCAAGAGGCTGTGATAAGTTGTCGCTGAGAAAACTGTTACGAAAATTTCCTACCACTGACCATTTATGTCGAAAATTTAACTAAGTCGGTAAACAGAAAAGCGAGGAGTGACAGACTCGAAATCGAATTCCACGGTATGGGACCACATGTTAATGCTGTATGCCAAATATCAAGAGGGTGAGATAAGTAGTTGCTGAGAAAAACTGTAACGAAAATATTTTCCCAGCCCGCCCGCAGCCCGACTTTCGCCATTTTAAAATCCGGGTTTGCACCTGTGCAACCTGGCCAAAAATGTATATACGTTTTAAATCAACACTTATTCATTATGAAATGAAATGTGCATTTAGCATGTTAATCTGCCACTCTGACAGGAGTAGGTAGTGGGGCCATTAGTGTTCCTTGGATAGATGTAATGTTTACTACACATGCTCGAATTTATCTTATAAATATCTTTTCAGTTCAAAGGCAGTTCATCTTCTGCCGATGACAACAGCGCAAGACTCGGTACAATTACTTGAGTGTATTTTATGACATTTACCGGTGAATATCACATTATATTCAATGGCTCTCTAGTCAATAATTGTATGATATTTTCTGTAAGTAGTTCCTGAAGGTCGTCAAAGAAGACGTACGGTAATTTTTGTCTGTTACTTCTTATATCTATCTATTCGAAATATGATAAATTCATACTGTAATTCACATTTGATTTAGCAAGAGCGAATTCGAGTTTTTGTTTTATTTTGTCAACTTTATTGAACAACTTGAAGGTGTAAGAATAATAACGTTTCTCGAAGCAAAATATAACGACATGTTAACTGAGTATTACAGGTATATCCATAAATTTAAAAAAGGCTAGAATGATTAGTTACTGCATTGAAGTGTAACGTCTATAACAATTTTGTAGACAGGTTTTAGGCTTAAAGTAAGTTCGTTAACCTCAATTTGATACGCAAAAAATGCCACCGACAGTCATTTTCAACATTAGAAACCTCTCAATTAAATTATTTGACAAAATATTTAAAAGAAATCAATATGACTATAATATACAAATGAAATATTTTTATTTTATCTTAAGAAAATAATAAATTGGTTATGACCCTCACATTTGCACGATTTGCTATGTGAAAAATATCTTTTCCAGACTCATCACCACGAACTGTATCAACATTGTTAATTAGAATGTCCGAATGATACATTTCTATTGTTTTAATCAATACTTTAACACCTATGTACCTAATGTAGACCAACCTTTTTTAAATTGCAATCATATGGTAAATACATTTTGGTCAATACTAACGGAATCGACAACAAAACAAATGGAAGATCGGTCAAAATTATTATTGATGCAAATATGGATCTTTCCTCCATTATCAATATCAAATGAACACAGCACAATAATTCGTCATCAGTAAATTCACCATTAGATTATTTAATATTTCACAGTACTAAAACATTATAAAGCAAATGTTTGACATTTCATTTTCTAAAAAAAACTGAGGAAAAAATACGAACGTCCGAGGTATAATGTGCCTTTAATATAAATATATATATTTAGTATATCCATAAGTTGGTCGGGGAGTCGGACGTGTGATACTGAATATATACTTTAATTTTAAATAGACAGAACGTTCTAAATTATAATGTATACTTTTGACAAACCACTTCTCAAAATTATTTTGCATTGAAGAAAAAATATTCAAAATAAATCATTATAGAATCTATTCATCTGTAAATTAACTTGAACTACTTTGCCTATGACATGGAAGTCATGTGACTAAAACATGACTTTTAAGCAGGTGAAAAGATGCAGGCACCTGTCTATAATGTTTTACATTATATTTTAAGTATATTACCAATACTTTTAGATTGCAATCATACATACACAAAGGTCAGTCAACGAACTAAGAAGATTGAAATGAAGATTTCATAACATAATATACAAAATTTTGGCAGCCATTTTGTTCCTAAACAACCATGTGTTTCGGATGGCAAAAGAGAAAATCATAAATTACTGCTTTAATATAAGCATTCAAAACTTTGAATATGACGTGAACATAAACATAATATTCGCAAAGAATGTAAACCATGTATTCAACGTTTATTAGTTTTAAAACTAAACTTTACGATTAAAATAAACTCGAAAACATAACCTTTCAGAAAACACCCGACTTGGAAAGGGAGGTAACTGGAATACATATGAACAGAATGACATGCCAGAGTTTTCTCCCCGTAATAAACTGCACTGATGAAATACAAGATTTCATACACTGTAACCTGTTATTGAAATATTTTAAAGGATTATGATGAAGAAATTGGAGTTTTATTAATTAAGAGCTTGATGTTCCTATCACATAAAGCACTATTCAGTCTTTCACCAAGTGGTTCACAATGCACTTCTCATCTTTATAAACTTTCCATAAATGTGTTCGTTAGAGCCATCCTTCCAAGGGTCCTCTTGGAAAAGAGACGTACCACAAGGCAACATCTATGTGTATGTCTCTATCTATGCTTATTAGGCAAAGTAATGACAGTCTTTCTTGTTCAATGGTTGATATTTTGTCTTCACACGATCAAGGACACTTTCACTCCTTTCCCAAGTGATCCATGAAGTTTTCATGTATTTCCCCCGATTTCAGCTTTCTACATTTGGTCTAAATGACACACCCCTCTACTGATCAAAGTATGTTTTATGTTACTAAATCTGTGTAAAACCGCTTGTTACTCGGTCAGTGATCTTCAATAAGATATCGGTATCGACGTATCGTAGGTAATGCTGGAGGTATATCGGGCCGAAAACTTTTTTATCATACCTTGTATATCGACTGTAGCATAGTTAACATCTTACAACTAATATCAACTTTCAAAAGCTGTCTTACTCTAACTTACAATAAACAAACAATATTAATGTTGTGCATTGTAGCGAGGTTATTTTATAAGCGACAGTTAAGGGATTTACTACGTGTGGTTTAACCATAGACCTAGATATTACTTTCTTTTTTAAAAGACGCTCTATTTCTTCTTCTACAAACTTAATATTATCTCTTGCGGACCTATTATTTCTAAGTACTACGCTTGGCGGTACTTCCTTCAAAGGTAACATATAACCCTTTTCAACAACCTGAATAATATATGCACTATCCGATGCCTCTTTCCATTTATTTACACAATTTTTTAACCTACCTACTGGTGAAACAACTGTGTCTTCGTTCTCTTCTACAGATCGTAACTGTGAACATATTTTATGTTCTTCAACATATTTCTCATTTAAATATGGTATATGTAATACATCACCTTCGCTGTTTGATAAATTACTATCACAACAGCCATCGTAAATATTTTCTCTGTTTACGCATGTAAATAAATCATTACTTATCTTATTATTAGTATTCCTTTCTGGGCATTCCGGCGCCCCTCGCCAATGCCCCGGTTTGCCACATGCAAAGCACAGCCCAGGTCTACGCCCTTGACGGCCTACCAATTGTTGACTTCCGGGACTGGTCTCTGTAAACATACGCTGTTGTTTCCGGTATGGCCAGTTACGTGCAGACTTAGTTTTCTTGGATTTCTCTGCTTTGTACTTCTTAGAAGCCCTCGCTTCCGCTTTAAAGATACGTTTTTCATCGTCTGAGTCGCTCGCTAAAGGATTGGCTTCATATTCCTGAACGACTCTCCAACCCAACTCAGCTGAATCCGCAAGTTTTATAAGCTTCTGTCGACGAGCCATCATTTCTTTTGCTGAAAACACAGCGAATTTCAACATTATCAAAACTATATGATTTTATAATCTTAAAAACAATAAACATGCTATTATCAATTATAATTATAGACGAATTTAATTTCTATATATTCACACACAAATTTTTTATCTATAAAACGTTTATTATTTCCTTAAGAAATGATTACTTTTTGTCCGTTCGTTCTTTCATTAAAAATCCAATAAAGCAGAAATATACCATATCAAACTGTTTACAGTCAATGATACATTTAAATAACGGAAAAACCCGTGCAAACATGACTACACATTTACATGACCGATAACTCGAGTATCGTCTACATGTTTCACAAAACATATGCCGAATTATTCTCTTCAGAAAACATTAATAATTCATTTATCTAAGATTATTCTTGTATTCACACATACATCACGTATAATTTACGACTCTTGTTAAAATTTCATAAATTTCATTCACCTATACTTTACTGCACAAAATTCAAAAATTGTAATACCTTTCCGACAGATAAACAAATTCAATTTAGAATGACGTTTTAGGCACATATATGCGTGCGAACATTTGCATAATTCGAGAATTAAGAATAGAAGTTTTAAAATTAAATTTTTTAAAATTAAATTTTTAAAATACCTTCTGCTATATTAGCTCTACACTCCTCTAATTTCTTATCCTGTAAGCCATTCTCGGCGTCTTCTAATTTTATCATAACTTTTGCATTATGTTTATACTGTTCCTCATTGCTTTTACGCTTAAACTTTTCACTGTTAATCATCATACTAGAAAATTTGCTACTAGAATTGCCACTTATCTTTTCAAAAAGGCTGCCTATTTCCTTCAACATGTCCTCCTTATGTTCTTCCAAGGACGCCTTGACCTTGTCCTCCACAACTCTATCTAAATCGTCCATGCTTAGCTGAATGCTGGTGATCTCGTAAGAGAAATATCGCTAGAACTGATTTTCATACTCTGCCGCGGGTATTTATACCCGTGTATAAAATACACATGTATGCTTGAATACATTCAAGCCTTCAAAACCGGTTTATGTAATCCGTTACAGTTAGACAATGGTTCTCCTCTATACGATGTAACGCGGAGAACCAGTAATTAATCATAACCTATCTCTAACAATAGTATCGAAAGCTTTTTTTCAAAGTCGATAAATGTGCAATTTACTTTCAATTTACAATTAATAATAGAATGAAGTAAAAATACAAAATCTGTTGTAGACTTATTAATTGTCTCTAAAACCGTATTGAGAATCATTAAGCACTGTTTGCGCTTCACACCATCTGTTTAATCTATTTCTAAGAATAAGTAAAATATTTTAGCAAGTATTTACAAGGGAGATTCTTCGATAACTGAAAGGATTAGAGATATCGCATTTTTGTGAATCGGAACAGTAATACCTTTACATCATGCATTAGGATAAATTCCAGTATCAAATATTTTGTTAAAAATACAACAACATGGTGCAATAAAAGTGTTTGCATCAATGAAAAAATCTGTTAATATTTTACTATAATCTATAATCAGCGCTCTTTTGTTTCGGCATAGAATGCATTGTTCTTGAGACTTCCTCTACATAATAAATGCGCAATCTAATTTATAAATTAACAGCTGGGTCTTCTATTATGCTTATCTTCCTGAGAGTAATAAGGCTGCTGATTGTTGGAGATATTCTTAAAACGGTCTACAAAATCATAAATATTTACACAAGATACATTTGTTGAAACCCTATTTCTAAATTTATTTATATACTTCCAAAATTTTCTTGGACTATGTTTAATCACGGAAGACAAATTAACATTTTCCCTATTACTTAAGTAACGCTTTGCTTTCTCTTAAACATTACAAAACACACGTCTACTATGCAAAAATTTTGTTCTATTTTCTTCATAAGGATTATTATGGAAAATTCTTTTATTATTCATAAAATTGTTTTCGTCTATTTACAACTATTGTCGAACCATTACACTTTTTAAATTGCTTTGTTAGGCTTTTTAGTGTTAAAAGTTTTACCATTCAATTTAAAAGAAATATCATATACAATATCTGTAAAGTTATTTATACCCATATCAATATCAAATACATCCGAAGCTAACTTAACCGACACTTCATCCAATAATATTTTTTTATCGCTCAACAAAGACTAAAATAAATCTGGATCAGTATCAGTCAACACTATTTTATCCACTGCATGCTTTGCTTTTTTATATTTTGGATCGAATTGAGGGAGCCATGTTTCATCCTGAGTAACGATCCGGTAGATAAAATAAGGTTCATTCAGATAAAAGATATCTTGAAATGTCAAGCCTGGTCTTTTTCTGGTCGTCAGTCAATTGGCTTGGGACCCATTTAGCGGAAACCTTTGACATGCCATAGACTTTCAATCAAAATTGCTTGAATTGAACCAAAGCTTATAAACACTTCCCTAGCAATTCTTCGCAGGTCTCGCCTTCTATCGCATATGCTCAGATCGTGCATAGTTTCGGCAGTTTCATCGTTGGTGGCCTCTTTTGGCCGCCCAGGCGGCTCATCATCTCCAATGCTCTCTGTGCCCCTCTGAAATGCAGGAGCCCATTTTTTCACAGTGGTAAAGGAAGGGGACTCCTTCCCAAGTGTATACATGAAGTCTTCATGGAGTTCCTTGGGGGACATTCCTTTCTTACGGAAGTGCTTAATGACGGCTCTGATTTCAACTTTCTACATTTGGTCTAAATGACAAACCCCTCTATTGATCAAAGTGTGTTTTATGTTACTTAATCTGAGTAAAACCGCGTGTAACTCGTACAGTAATCTTCAATAAGATACGCTTGACCCACTTATAGTTACAGATGATTTGAAATATAAACTAACCGTCTGTCAAAGATTATTCAAATTTCCTGTTCCCTATTCAACAATCCTAGACCTCTCACCTAAGATCCACTGCAGGAAAAATTGCCATAACTCTTTAATACAGAAGTAAGATAAGATCATGTGAGGAGTATCAATTTTTTTCACCACATACAGTTATGATTTATGGACTATTTGTAAAGGTTCCCTTCAAAGGAAACATGCCTAATATCTAGGTACTTGGAACTGTTTCACACAAGAAGACTCAGTCATATAGTTATATTCCTATGAGTCTATATAAACTTAGTGATTTGGTCCTATGTCAATAATTCATAATGTTTATAGAGTATCACAAAGTGATGTTTCATGATAATTTTTCTGCTCTGGGAACTTTAGTTTCGGAGAAGATTTTTAAGACAGTTTTAAGTCTATACAAACATAAGTAACATACCAGGGAAAGCCATTTTAGACTGCAGGGGCATGATTTAAAGGCCTGCCACGAGGGGCACTTAGTTTTGAAAAACTAATGTAGGAAATCATCATCAGAAGTCCTCTTTTGGAGAACTACAATGCCTAGAACTTAGATATTAAACATACCGGTATAACATTGTCAAGTAGAGAAGACCTCTTAAATGTTACATAAAACATTTTTAAGTGGGTCAAGCGATACTATTGATATACTTATTTCACTACACATAAATCATATGATGTATCAGTCGCCTTAAGTTTACTTTGTATCTTTTGATAATACCATGTCTAGATATGTTATTCTATAAACAGTTTGTTGATTCATTGTCTTCTTTTATATCTCTACAATTAACACTTAATAAAAAATATCAAGATATTGAAACAAGTAGTATCACGCAACTAAATTTAATAACTGAGTTTATACTAATGAATGTATGATTAGCTCACCTACTTGACCCAAAGAAAGACACATATTTTATAGCTTCCTACACTATCAAACTAAAATAAATTCTGCATAAACCAAAGAAAGACAAAAATACCTTCGTTCACTAAAAAATACTTTTTAATAGGAAACATTGCATACGAATTAACAGAAAAAGCGAAAAAATAGAAATAACTTACCCAGTGTAAATTTTGTTGTTTTTCTTTAATAATTATCGGATAAATTTACCCCACCAACTTTGACAAAATATAAAACCTACAGTTTTTATGGTTTTCTTACATGTTAACAACAAACCCCTATTTTTAATTGAATGACAAATAAGACATTATGTAACTTTTTTTTCATATAGATTTAGAAAACAAAATTATAGAAATATGCAAAAAATGAGATTTTTTTCTTGATATCTTTATAGATGTTTTTAGACATAAACTTAAGAAATTTTACTTTCATTATAATTTACATAAGATTCGATTATTTCTGACATGTTTAAACACTTTTTTATCGAAATAAACATAATGTGTGCTACAAATCATACTATAAAAATTATGTTACAGTTTTGCATAAAATCAGCGGCCATATTGGACGCCATCTTGGATAGAGAAGAGGTATGAAAGAGAAATTTTATATTTTGTTAAACATTAACATTATAGTACCTGATATGCTATTGTAAAGTAGCAACTAAATTCTGTGTAAGCAAATGGTATACATGTACATTGTAAACATGCAGAAAAATGTATAAAATTCATGTATTAATTCATGACAAGTAAAAAATAAAACTTTAAAAAAATATAAAAAACTTTTAATTTAAACATTTAAAACATGACAACTTTTAAGTGACCTATAGCTAAACCCTTTTAAGAAAAAATATATAAAATATTTTTTACATCTTTTCCCATACATATTTTCCTGTATCGGTTAAGTCAAAACTTGTTTTAAATCAGTGAATGATAATTTTTTAACCCTTTGCAGCCTTTACTGTGGGTTAATTGAACTTACTTTAAACCCAAAAATTTTAACAAAAAAAGTCTAAATTTGGAAAATGAATTTACGTTCATAAATAAAATTAGGGAAAACCCAAAGTAAACTTTAACAATGTACTCCCGGCCCCCTTCCCCACCGTAAAGCAAAGAAAAAAACTAAAACCCTTTGAACTGTCAAAAATTTTAAAAATTTATAATGGATTCAGTTACTTTAATAATATGTCTAATCTTTATTACCTAAAGATCTGCTGCCTTGAACCGACAGATCATAAAATGTAAAGGAAATTTCTGAAATACGATTCAATATGTTATCTTGCTCTGACAGATATGTCAATATTTTAATTATTTGGAATTGGGCGAGTTGTAGAACGAATGTATTTGAGATATGCTGTAGACTTCCATCGACCTAACTTCTGTATTTGCGATGCTGGCATATTTGATTCATAAGCATGAGTAGCCCCTCCAATACGAAATGAGTGTGCAGTATATAAGTTTGGGTCCATGTTATTTGCAATAACACAAGAGCGTAAGATTTTGATCGAAAGAAAGCAGTAGAGATAGGCTGACCATTACGATCTCTAAAACAATTGACCATTACCATTAGGAGCAATTCTTAAATACTTTAATAGAGCATGTACTGGGCATAAACTTTTTTGTTACTTTGTACCGTGCTAAGGGAACTACTGAAGATGTTGCCTTGGGAGTGTTTATAGTTCCGAATTGTGATTGACATAGAGGAAATATTTGATCGTTTATATTTGAAAACTAAAATCCTCTCGTCTAATAACGTTTTTGAAGAACCAGTTAATGAATGAGCCTAGTTCACCTACACGAAAAAGCCCAAAAAAAAAGCTACTAAATACATGGCTTGCATAATGATGCGAGTGAAACCATCCGAAAAAATGAAACCGAAAGTTTATTTTAAAATGTTTTTTTAATATTCGAGATTGTAAAACGGTTGGCGTTTGTCTATTAACTGCCTTATGCTTCTGATACTAATGTAACATTTTTTTTACAAACAAAAACTCGGAAGGGAGACCATAAATTGTAAGGGTTTATGGATATACTTGCAATAGCCGAATTATAAGACAGGTGGATAGTAGAGGCTTTGGTTTTCCGTTTGTGAACCCCAAATTATCTAATGAATTGCGCAAGACGTTCTGTTGAAACGGGTAGAAATGGGGGCAATTTTGGGATAGTACGTGTCATGGGGAAAGTTCTGTGCTGTTTTTAAAAGGGGATTTCGATAACTACAATTTTAGTAGATTTGGTGCTAAGCAGAATCCTAGGAGATGATATACATCTCTGTTTATTGAAGCATGAGAAGGTCCTGTGGAACTAATGTTGGAGTTTTGTCCATGTACGGAGCAGTAGCTTGAAATGTCTGGATCTGTAAACGAGAAAGAAGGTCGGGCAATATATTATATTTGCCTGGAATATGTTCCGCTCTTAACAGGATATTATATTTCATACTAGCTATTACTAAACGACGTACCAGAGCCATAAGGACAAGGTACTTTAAAAGGTTCCCTTTTTTAAAAATGTGTACTACTGCATTATTGTTTTGTATGCAGGACCCATCCCATTGGTTTTTAAAATTTCAGCCCCCAAAATTTCTAATGCAAAACTATAGGGGAAAGGGGTTCTTTAAAGGTAAGTTGAAGAAACCAAAACCATTTTTGGGCCCCGGTTTCCCCCTTTTAAACCCCGTGCAATTGTAATATAGCCCCAAAAATCCAATGGACCCAGAAAGGGTTAGTGTGAAATTTTTAAAGTTAAACGGGCGTTAACCCAAAAGTTTTTTGGGAAAAAATTAAAGGTTTTTTTCATTTAAATGGGTTTACAAATTTAAATTTCCATGCCCTTTAAAATCTTTTCGGGTTTCTTTTTTAACCCTTAAACCTAAAGGGTGATTGTGAAACCTTTTTCGTTAAGTCTGTGAGGCGACGCAAAAAACATCTACCCGGGACTACCACTTGGCAACAAAAATTTAAAAGACCTAGTAATGATTGTAAATCTTTCAAAGTGACTTTGCGGCGTTTAGCCATTGATGCAAGTTGACTCTGTAGCTTTATCAACTTGTCTTGTGGTAAACGAGCTTGCATGTTATTTAGAATCAAGTTCTAGGCCCATAAAGGTGATAACCGTTCTGGCGTTCTCAGTCTTTTTTCTTCTTTAATAGGAACACCGATGTCAGAACAAAAAGCAAGGAATTTGTTTAAATCGTTCTGATAGACCTGGGAGTGGGGAGGACCCAGTATTAAAAAATCATCCAAAATATGTAACATGTGTCTAATTTTTAATAAATTGTTAGAGATATATTCAAGACTTGAGCTAAAACGTTCAAAAATAGCACATTGATGAAAGATTTCCCCCATTGGGAAAACAAGTAAAAAATAAATAATGTCCCTGGGAAATTTAAAAAAACCCAGTAAGATGGGAAAAAAATTTTCCCCGGGGTGAATGGGAATTAAACGAAAAGCAGAATCTATATCTGTCTTGCTAAACAATGTTCCTGGCCCTAATTCTAGTAATTTGGTTACTGCATTGTCAAAAGTACAATAGCTAACTGTGGACAAATTTGGGTCGATAAAATCATTTACTGAATCACCCCGGGGGTAGCTAAGATGATGGATTAACCTAAATTGACCTGGGGACTTCTTCGGAACAAGGCCTATGGGACTTATGCGTAGATTTGGTAGAGGTGGAACATCAAAAGGACCTTTAACCCGGCCGGTATCCAGTTCAACCTTGAGCTTTTTGTGAACAATTTCTGGATTTTCTTCACAAGACTTCAAGTTTGGTGATGTTGAAGCCTTTAATTGACCAATGTAACCTAGTTTAAAACCTTTTGAAAATCCATTAATTAAATATTGTGCTAACGGATAATTTTGTAGGAAAGGGGCGAGGGCACTGACTTTGATAGGTGTGATTAATTGTAATCTATTTTGCTGGTCTTGAGGAGTTACTTGGTTGGGATAAGACTTTTGCGGCTTGTTCCTTGCTTGTAAATTTACAGTTGTAAGCTGCGTGGGCACCCCTGCAAAATCCACATATGTGTGGTTGGGTGCATTTTTGATTGTGGCATTGGGAGCGTTTGTTGAAATTCCAGCAGGTTTTTTCGAGAAACCGTCTGGAACTGTTAAAGTTGTTGTTACGTGTGGGTTGGTGATTAGACCGAAAGGACTGCTGGGGTTGTTGTAACGATGTACACGCCTTTAACCAAAATTCCGTATGTATACGGTCCCAGGGGGATGATAATGGATTCACGTAACAACCGAAACTGAGGGGCATTTATTAAATGCCATAAATGACAAATGTTACATAATAACAAACATGGTATGTACATATTTATATCTAAATGACCAAACTGGGTGGTAAAAACCTCTGAATGAAATAGGGCATTTATTAAATGCCATAAATGACAAATGTTACATAATAACAAACATGGTATGTACATATTTATATCTAAATGACCAAACTGAGTGGTAAAAACCGCCCACATATGATAAATGCATAAAAGCATATTAACATAATGATAAATGTATAAAAGCATATTACCTATGACTAGATTCACAAGTATTTATGATAATAAACATATGAAAGCAATAAGTGTGAACAATGACTAGCATAACAATATATAAAAATGTACATCATGATTAGTTGCCCAAGTATTAAAGCAAAAGTGTAAACAATGACTAGCTTGACAAATCTTTGCATAAACCATATATAAAAATGCATTAATTATATTCGTAAACAATAAATGAAACGATTGTATCTATATCCTTAGAAAAATTCAAGAGGAGGGTGGAGTCGGAGGTGGATTTTCTTAGTAAAGAATGGCGAGGAACCTTCCACGCCAAAATTATTTCTTTGTGATTGATCTAATGCAATGATTGGTTAATCTGCATCATGTGACTTGGATCTTTATATTGATTGGCTTAGAATTAACACAATCTTGCACTAGGCTAAAACCCTGACGCTTAACGGGTAAAATTATGTACAGCAAGGAGAGCGGGGTCAATGACATAAATTATTTTATGTTGGCATAAAATCTTATTTATGTATTGTCCAGGTCAAGGGCAATTTAACTAGCTAGGCGAACTTGTTTGGTCTAAGGTAACAACACAACACATAGGTTGAATGAAATATGGCATTTATTAAATGCCATTAATGACAAATGTTACATAATAACAAACATGGTATGTAAATATTTATATCTAAATGACCAAACTGGGTGGTAAAAACCGCCAAAAAGGGGAAACCCCGCCGCCACCCAGAGAGACTTGACTAGGATGTGAGCTTGACCTGCGTTAAAGGTTGATACAGATAATAGTTTACTTATCATGTATAACTATCTATTATAATGAAAACATATATACCAGCACATTTTTTGCTGTTTAATTAAATCATGTTCGGACAAAAATTTAAACATTATATATTGTAAGGACCAACCCCCCTAGGGTAGTTACCAAATCCTTATTAATCAGGATACCGGCCACTGTATTAACTAGTAAGTGTATGGCAATACTTCTACCCCATATTACATACACTTACAAGTAGCTGTTGTTTTAAACATCAGACATAGCTTCAACACATCTTAGCCATCTTTGTAGTATACCAGTACATCATAAGAGGTAGGCTCAGATCGTAATAGAGACATCATAGTTTCATCAAGGGATTCTTTGTAAGTATCTGGTCATCTTGTCAGGATATTTATATAACCAGGTTTTATACAACCTATTACTTAGGATGGAGTGTACAAATATAGGTAAGTCCTGCATTGGTATAAACACAGGAAACTGGTACAAGACATCAGTAACTCGATTAACATGTAAACGTCATTTAATAATGTGACATCATATATAACAAGTACATCTCAATAAATATGTATATGATATTCGCTGACAATACTACTCTGTGACGTAGATCTATCGTTATAAACGGATTAATATCGGGCGGCATTAACAATTCTTCTTCGATGGATTAAATACCGGCATTGACAATACTCGACAATAGAGGACCTAGGCTTATGCAATGGGATCTTCTTCGGTTATGAACATTTAGTTACAAATAAATGTAAAGTATGACAGGATGTTGGAAATTTCTAAGACCAATACATCTTTTAGGGTCTGCCATAACGTGATAATTCATATTAGGTTCAGCATCAAATGAATTTGTAATAGACTTCTGTAAGTAAACTGTTGTTGTTTACGATAGTACTGGATAGCTTAACGACCAGCAAATTAAGGTAAGTTATTATTTATCTAATATATAGTAGATACCTTATAAGTAAGCAAGTAAGTGGTTGCAGGATATATATATATATATATAGATATATCAGACGTAATACGACTTAAGGCTCAAAGAATTTAAGCTTTGTAGCTTTGGTACTTCTCAAGTTGTTACGGTTGAGAAGAAGATGCCAAATGACGACAGTCACCCCTATTTATAAACTTTTGGGACGCTACAAAGAGTGCCCCAGCAATGAAAATCCCGGCTTAAGACTAGGTCCAGTGATCAGTCTTTAACAATATTTAACAATATAGCAATAACAATAAAAGTTCTAACAGACATAAGTAGCACATATATGGCTTAATTGAAAAGCCACATAAACATATCTGAAATAACATTTAGAAATACATATTAACAAAAAGCCGGTCCAAAATACTCAAGCGTAGTGATATATGCAGACGTATTCTATTACGCAGATAAAATACAGTTCTCACTTAATAAAATATGATAAAGACAGAAAATCATCCGGCTCAAATCAGGCTTACAATTATTTTTAAATAAATAAGAAATCCTGAAAGTTTAAATGTAAACAAATATACATTCATAAAAAGCCAGACTGAAATACAAATAAGTAGTTCCAAAGTTCTGTGTCCGCCATTTTTAAACATGGAAAATGACAGAAGAAAGCGCCGTCTGAATCTTCCAATAATGTCTGTAGATATTCACTTTGTGATATATTATAGTAACTGTAAATGTTCCAAATTATTAGATATTCATCAGGAAATTAATAAGGGTCATCTGACCATTTTGTGGCGAGAGTTATCTATCCTAATGTGATACTCTTCTTAAAAGAGAACTGTCAACAATGCTGATATTCGAGTTTTACGTTGTGTTTCGTGGAATAAAGTCCATTTGTTAAAAAGGTAGCACTATTTGATCATTGTTAATACATTTTAAGTAAGAACAGTTCATGATTTATAGAATTATATATGCACATGTTGATTTCTGTTGAAAGTATAACGTAAATTGTCATGTCATTTGAAATGTCCAAAATTTGTAAGGGAGGTATTCCATTACAATATCTATATAATTCTTTCCATTTGTAGCCTGCAGCCTTGAACTGTCAGGAACATAGTACCTGATATGCTATTGTAAAGTAGCAACTAAATTCTGTGTAAGCAAATGGTATACATGTACATTGTAAACATGCAGAAAAATGTATAAAATTCATGTATAAATTCATGACAAGATAATAAATGAAACTGTTACAAAAATATCAAAACATTTAATTACATTTGAACATGACAACATTTAAGTGACCTATAGCTAGAGACCTTAAGTAACAAATATATACACATATTATTTACATCTATTCATACATTGTTGCTGTATCAGTGTAAGTCTAACTTGTATTTATCAGTGAATGATAATTATTTAACCTGCAGCCTTGTACTGTCAGATTAATTGAACTTACATAAAGCCAATTTAACAAAACATAAGTCTAAGTTGAAAATGAATACGTTCATAAATGAAATTATGGAACAAAGTAAACATACAATGTACTGCGGCCTTGCACCGTCAGCAAAGAATAAAACTGCAGCCTTCAACTGTCAGTAATTTGAAATTTGTAATGGCATTCAGTTAGCTTTAATAATATGTCTAATCTTTATTACCTAAAGATCTGCTGCCTTGAACCGACAGATCATAAAATGTAAAGGAAATTTCTGAAATACGATTCAATATGTTATCTTGCTCTGACAGATATGTCAATATTTTAATTATTTGGAATTGGGCGAGTTGTAGAACGAATGTATTTGAGATATGCTGTAGACTTCCATCGACCTAATTTCTGTATTTGCGATGCTGGCATATTTGATTCATAAGCATGAGTAGCCCCTCCAATACGAAATGAGTGTGCAGTATATAAGTTTGGGTCCATGTTATTTGCAATAACACAAGAGCGTAATATTGATCGAAAGAAAGCAGTAGAGATAGGCTGACCATTACGATCTCTAAACAATTGACCATTACCATTAGGAGCAATTCGTAAATACTTTAATAGAGCATGTACTGGGCATAACTTTTTGTTACTTTGGCGTGCTAAGGGAACTACTGAGATGTTGCCTTGGGAGTGTTTATAGTTCCGAATTGTGATGGACATAGAGGAAATATTTGATCGTTTATATTTGAAAACTAAATCCTCTCGTCTAATAACGTTTTGAGAACCAGTTAATGAATGAGCTAGTTCACCTACACGAAAAAGCCCAAAAAAGGCTACTAAAAACATGGCTTGCATAATGATGCGAGTGAAACCATCCGAAACAATGACCGAAAGTGATTTTAAAATGTTTCTTATATTCGAGATTGTAAACGGTTGGCGTTTGTCTAACTGCTTATGCCTTCTGATACTATGTAACATTTTCTTTACAACAAAAGACTCGGAAGGGGAGACCATATTGTGAAGTTTATGGATATATGCAATAGCAGAATTATAAGAGGTGATAGTAGAGGCTTTAAGGTTCCGTTTGTGACAAATAGCTATGAATTGCGCAAGACGTTCTGTAGAAACGGGTAGAAGTGGGCAATTGGGATAGTACGTGTCATGGAAAGTTCTGTAATGTGTTAAAGCATTTCGATAACTACATTTAGTAGATGGTGCTAATGCAGAATCTAGGAGATGATATACATCTCTGTTTATTGAAGCATGAGAAGGTCCTGTGGAACTAATGTTGGAGTTTTGTCCATGTACGGAGCAGTAGCTTGAAATTTCTGGATCTGTAAACGAGAAAGAAGGTCGGGCAATATATTATATTTGCCTGGAATATGTTCCGCTCTTAACAGGATATTATATTTCATACTAGCTATAACTAAACGACGTACCAGAGCCATAATGACAGGTACTTTACAGGTCTGCTTATTTATAATGTGTACTACTGCATTATTGTCTGTATGCAGGACTATGCATTGGTCTTTTATATGCGAGCCCCAAATTTCTAATGCTAAAACTATAGGAAGGAGTTCTTTAAAGGTAATGTTGTAAGATAACCAGCCATCTGGCCAGGTGCCGTAAAACCAGTGCAATTGTAATATAGCCCCATATCCAATAGACCCAGAGGCGTCAGTGTGTAAATGTAAAGTATCGGACGTTACCCAACGTTTATGTAAAAGTAGGTTTTTACCGTTGAAATGGTTGACAAATAATTGCCATGCCCTAATATCTTTACGGCTTTCTTTGTTTAACGTTATCCTATGGTGTGATTGTGAAACCTTTTTCGTTAAGTCTGTGAGGCGACGCAAAAAACATCTACCCGGGACTACCACTTGGCAACAAAAATTTAAAAGACCTAGTAATGATTGTAAATCTTTCAAAGTGACTTTGCGGCGTTTAGCCATTGATGCAAGTTGACTCTGTAGCTTTATCAACTTGTCTTGTGGTAAACGAGCTTGCATGTTATTAGAATCAAGTTCTAGGCCCATAAAGGTGATAACCGTTCTGGCGTTCTCAGTCTTTTCTTCTTTAATAGGAACTCCTATGTCAGAACAAAAAGCAAGGAATTTGTTTAAATCGTTCTGACAGTCCGGGGAGTGGGGAGGACCCAGTATCAAAAAATCATCCAAAATATGTATCATGTGTCTAATTTTTAATAAATTGTTAGAGATATATTCAAGACTTGAGCTAAAACGTTCAAAAATAGCACATGATGATGATGCCCCCATTGGAAGACAAGTATCATAATAGTAATGTCCCTGGAATTTAAAACCTAGTAGATGATGATCATCCGGGTGAATGGGAATTAAACGAAAAGCAGAATCTATATCTGTCTTGCTAAACAATGTTCCTGGCCCTAATTCTAGTAATTTGGTTACTGCATTGTCAAAAGTACAATAGCTAACTGTGGACAAATTTGGGTCGATAAAATCATTTACTGAATCACCCCGGGGGTAGCTAAGATGATGGATTAACCTAAATTGACCTGGGGACTTCTTCGGAACAAGGCCTATGGGACTTATGCGTAGATTTGGTAGAGGTGGAACATCAAAAGGACCTTTAACCCGGCCGGTATCCAGTTCAACCTTGAGCTTTTTGTGAACAATTTCTGGATTTTCTTCACAAGACTTCAAGTTTGGTGATGTTGAAGCCTTTAATTGACCAATGTAACCTAGTTTAAAACCTTTTGAAAATCCATTAATTAAATATTGTGCTAACGGATAATTTTGTAGGAAAGGGGCGAGGGCACTGACTTTGATAGGTGTGATTAATTGTAATCTATTTTGCTGGTCTTGAGGAGTTACTTGGTTGGGATAAGATTTTTGCGGCTTGTTCCTTGCTTGTAAATTTACAGTTGTAAGCTGCGTAGGCACCCCTGCAAAATCCACATATGTGTGGTTGAGTGCATTTTTGATTGTGGCATTGGGAGCGTTTGTTGAAATTCCAGCAGGTTTTTTCGAGAAACCGTCTGGAACTGTTAAAGTTGTTGTTACGTGTGGGTTGGTGATTAGACCGAAAGGACTGCTGGGGTTGTTGTAACGATGTACACGCCATTAACCAAAATTCCGTATGTATACGGTCCCAGGGGATGGTAATGGATTCACGTAACAACCGAAACTGAGTGTCATAATACAAAAAGGCCAAACCTGGGCGTCTTCGGGCTAGATCCCTTACAATTTCCATATATTTGAGTAATTGTTGAGATTCCAAGGGATATTAGACAAGGTAGACAGCCATGAATCTTATGAAGGCTGTCGTCCAGGACTCAATATTGGAAATTTTTCTAGTACGACTTGTTGTGTTTATCGTAAATTGGGAATTCGAATCCATTTGGAGGGTGTACTGAACAGGTTGGAAATTTTGAGAGGAAGGGTGGAGGGTAGCCATGTCTACATATTTGTTTTTCCAAATGTCCTTACATAAGGACTTCCTTACTTGGTTAATTATAGGCGTACTTATGGGCTCAGCAAACTGAATGCCATTACCTGACGTAATATTTTGAGAATGTTGGGCAACTGCCTCTTGAAAACTTGGTAAAACATGAATGCCAGCATCTGTTTCTGTTTCATCTTGATCGGAATCTGATGATGGATCATCAGACATGTCCGTGTCTTGCATATGGATAGGCAGCTGTTGTGTGTTGACCAAATGTGGTATGAACTGATTTGTTGAACTTGATGTACTCGGTACTGAAAGGTTTGTAGCAAATGTCTGAGAATTATTTGTTGTAGGCGCATCATTATTGGGAGTTTCGACCAGACTGGTTGTTAAGTTGAATGGTAAACTCTCGGTATTTGCCTGCTTTCTAGAACTGTTCCTTGGACGTTTCTCTGCCACTTTTTTGTTTTTTGTGGGTTGTTTACCTGAACAGCAAGTACATTTGGACTTAGCTTTACCACGCCTTGGCGGTTTCATCTGAAAAATACGGACTTATTTGTTAGAAAAGAAACATTTTACCATGTAAACTAAACCATGTATAATAATGTGTGTGAACTTAACTACAGTACAGTAAATATATGTGTACTGTAAACTAAAACAATCACATGGACTGTAAACTAAACCATGTGTTGAAAAATGTGCATGAACTGTAAACTAAATCACGCAGACATGGACTATAAACTAAATCATGTATAATACGTACATGTGTGAACTGATAAACTAAATCACACTCACATGGACTGTAAACTAAACCATGTATAATACGTATGTGTGTGAACTGATAAACTAAATCACACTCACATGGACTGTAAACTAAACCATGATATAATACGTATGTGTGTGAACTGATAAACTAAATCACACTCACATGGACTGTAAACTAAACCATGTATAATACGTATGTGTGTGAACTGATAAACTAAATCACACTCACATGGACTGTAAACTAAACCATGTATAATACGTATGTGTGTGAACTGATAAACTAAATCACACTCACATGGACTATAAAACTAAACCATGTGTTGAAAATGTGCGTGGACTGTAAGCTAAATCACGCCAACATGGACTATAAACGAAACCATGTATAATACGTATGTGTGTTAACTAAACAATGTGTCGAAATGTCAACTAATTCTCGGACAGATTACATGTATGTGCTAGGCCATGTAAATGAGAATATTTGTGATCATTAAACTAAATCACCATACATAGACTGTAAGTAAACTAAACACGACATGTAATCAAACTGAAAACTAAATAACCAAAACATGAACTAAAATTTGAATCATCTTTAGAATGGGCACAAATTGTACCCTAAATCACACCTACTGTACTTAATAGCTCGAGTTAAAATATGCAAAATTAATGCAATAAAGTAAACTGTTAAAAATGTGAGCAACATAACAGTGTCAATGGTGTATCATCGAATAATGTATAACAAACTGAATATTGTCTTGACCAGATTTTGTGCAAAATTTATAATTTTGATATAAACAAATAAGAAATAATTATGAACTAATTCGTAAGTATATGCGTCCCAAAATAAATATGCCTGACTTATAATGTATTAAGTCATGATTAATCGAAATATCCATAAACACGTAAATATATAGTTACATGGATATCAATTATAAATTCATATAATTATCTTGTAGAAATATATTGGGATTTAAAACACTAATAATTGCAAAATGCTTTATGTAATATTATTCCTGGCACCTTTTGTACAACTATTTATAAATACAAGAAATTATAAACAGATACATATCTTATGCCTGGCAAATGGAACGCTTGAGGGCGGCGACCACAGCAGCTCTAATATTACTAATAAGCCGGAGCTGACCAGAGTTGGACAGGTGGCATCCATCTGTAGCAAAGTTTCGTTGTTTACAGGCTGTCGACCAGAATCCCTTCATCCGCCATAAGTAAGATCGCTTATGTGTGGTGTGGTTCAGCATCTCAAGCAAGTGAGAATTAAGTTCATCAACACGAGCATTATACCAGTCCACGTTAACAGGATAATTGGAGCGAATCGACGGGTTACATCTGTGTAATACTTGAAGAACTATAACTTTCTGAACGCCAATCATAAATAGAAGGGTATCCACTAAATCTGTAATATTACAAGCAACACTTTTTGGAGAAACATCCGATTTGAAAATGTCATTAGTTCCAATGACCAGCACAACTATGTCTGGGCTGAAATCTGAAACCAATTCCAGATGCTGTCTCAAAACGGGAACCGTAGCTCAAGAAATCTTCGAAAATTGTACTAAAGGATTTCTTTGGATATTTAAATCATATCGTTGATTGCTATCGTTTTTGATAAATTCCCGAAGCCTTCGAACAAACGAATGACCAAACAATTGCACTTTAACTGCGGATGTAGCCATGTTCCTTTACAACGTAATTTCCTTTGTCTTCAGCCCGCAAAATGAATTGCATCTTTCTACCCCAAAATTGAATATGAAAACGGGGTCGCCCCCCTGAATTTAGCTTCCAATCAATTAATTAACTAATAGTCCAAATTAATACGTATTTATTTCACCTTTTATCAAGTATATAACTTCAAAAATCGATACATTTTCTTAGTAAAGAATGGCGAGGAACCTTCCACGCCAAAATTATTCCTTTGTGATTGATCTAATGCAATGATTGGTTAATCTGCATCATGTGACTTGGATCTTGATATTGATTGGCTTAGAATTATCACAATCTTGCACTAGGCTAAAACCTCGACGCTTAACGGGTAAAATTATGTACAGCAAGGAGAGCAGGGTAAATGACATAAATTATTTTATGTGGGCATAAAATCTTATATACTGTACTTTTTTCTAACTACATGTGAATATTGAAGTAAATGATCTTTTATTTCCCTGAAAATATCAATTTAGAGATTTCATTTTCAAAATCATCTAATACTACTCTCTTAGTGTGTGTATATACAATGTATATATGTGTCTATACAATGTATATATGTTTACACTATAATATGATTGTGTACATCATGTAATGACATAAAATTTGAAAAATTTATGATAATAAAATATTAATAATATTTCTTTATATTACCCCACAGTATTACCACTAAAATATAAAATGTTCTATCATTTTATTATGATATTTATTTTTTACATGTAGATTTGTGAAAAAAATGTGAATATCAGTAGTATCAAAAATTGTTAATTGTCTAATTAACACTGATAAATTACTTCAACCATGTATTGAGAACAGGTATAGATCATTTCAAACAGTCTTGCTGTTGTGTTGACGTTTTCGCGACATGGTTGTGTGTCTGCCTTGTAATCAAGAGGTCTGGGGTTCAAATCCCTTTAAGTGCCTGATGATTTTTCAGGTTAACAATTATCAAGGTGGCAGTGAATTTTTTTTTCAATTTTCAAAACAACCTGTGGCTTTATAAATGGGAAACTATAGCGTGATTAATCAGAAAAGAGGAAAATCAAATTTCAACCACTGAAAATGGAATTTACCCATACATTTAAAAAAAAGTGTAATTCAATTTAAAGGGGTTCCATTGAGGTATTTTGTCATGATGGGACTGAAATATTTTTTCCAGATAAATGTACCATTTGATGAATGTTTAGACCACTAATCTTTGTACAAACCTTTAGATCATTTGCGCACTTCGTTTTTCCAGAATAATTATTCAAATTGTAAAAAGATGACCCAAAATGAAATGGCTAGACTTTAAATATATAATAATTTATAAAGGTCAAAATAAAATTATTCTGAAATATTCAAGAATGTGCCCCATTTGGTAGAGACGTAACGGCCGTGACAAGACCAACAAATTGTAGGCGTATATGCCGGTTTTCCTGTAAAGGCAGACATCTGTGTAATATCAATTTGTAAAATCTGTCGGTTTTGCAGTCTAGGCTACAGTACGATCGAAATGTCTTGGGGACGAAAGACTCGAGATCTCCAAATTACTTCGAAATTATTTACGAAAGTTTTAGTCCTCGGGAACAAATTGACATCAATAAATAAACTTAATATTATTATTCATCAAATTCATAACATATTTTGCTTTAAAACTTACCTTATGGGCTTAACAGGCTGATATGCTCGTGAAGTATGTCATAAAGTAAACCGGAAGTTGTCGGATTCATTTATCCTAATTATCGGCTAATTCAGAGACGAATAGATTATCTATATCTCTGGCTAAAATCCACTTTGCAATTATAAACTACAAAATTTATCCGATAAATAAGGTTTTTTTCAAAAATTTCTGGAATATCATACAAAAAAAAGTGATGATAAGGTACGGATGAGTAAGTAAAATATTGCGAGCGGTCAAGCACTATGACCCAATTAATTTACTATCCCATTCATAGAATTATGTGACCTTTCAAATTATATCCGCTACGTTTCTAATACCGTAATTCAAGCTCAATTGCACATAATTTTCAAAAAATAAATTTCTTGTTACCTCTTCTGTTCGCAATAAATCGAAGTTTTCAGAAATTCAGAGCACTATATTTCACTCGCGGCGGTTATGCGTCGTTCATGGTCGGATGATCACTATGAATTCAGCTTACCTTAATTATGTTAGAATACAATATAGCATATAGAGTGGCGATGAAACGTCACAGCAGTGGGCGTTACCCTGTATGGTTGGAAATTTCGGGTTTGTAAGTGCACTAGTTGGGACTACGTCCCAACTAAAAACTTGACTTAAAGCGAAAGAAGAATGTTTTTAAATTGTACTTTGCAGTGCTTTAAGAATAAAAGATTTATTGTGGAGAGTGCACCTTCTCAATGTGCAGTAATATTGCTAAATTGAAATTTTGTTTTCGTGACACACATTTGCATACTGTTTTTCTATTAAACATGAGTTTCAGGTATATTCCAAAGGTATTATATATTTACTCACAAATTGTGATTTCAATCAGTATTTAGTTTCAGCTATGTATTACCTAGAAGTTTAGTTACTTTTTAGTCTAAGTTTACTACTTGCAATATCTGATTCAAGCTCTTCCACTTCAATATTTTATGAATGTCGAGGCGACAGTCCCAAAAGGGGGAAGTAGATCATGTGTCGATATTCGTTTTATTGCTCATATCATTTTATGTATCATTTTGTCCTCTTGTATTTGCATGCATCTTGAATGTGTAACTTTCTCGTTATCTATGTATAAAATTTCTTTACAGTTCGATATAAAGGCCAAATTTCTTTACTATTCCAATTTATTTCTTATATTTCATTTTGACATAAATTGCATATCGGGCCTCTGTTTTTACAAACTTCCGGGGCAAACCATCTCATGCATGTGCGCTTTTATAAAGATCTTTCTTTATATCTTGGTTTATGCCAGAAACTGTTTTTATTTATTTATTTAATTTATCAAGGTGTTGGTTTATGCCTTTGCAGGTATAAACAACCATTGCATACATTAAAGAATAACCCAGACGACATACACTTAACCTAAAGAAAATTTTTCTCAGTTTAATTGTATTGTTTCAATAATAACTACATAAATATCGACTAAATGTATCAATATCATTCTAAAAAGGTAATAATCACACTATTGTTAAGTGGTTATAGCATAAACAAGACATTTTAGTATGAGAATATCAACAAAATTGTTATTATACATTGTAATGTACATGTATGCAACATATTACATGTATATTATTTATATCTGACCAGTTGGTATTTCCAATATTATCATTGTTCTATTTTTAGAACATTAACTACATGCATGTCAACAAGAAGTTTCTTACCTGTTGTAGAAAATTCTAGATTATGATTCATGCATTATATTTAGATAGAAACCTCCGAAATGTTCTTTATTGTTGAAGTTGCTAGATTATGATTACTGTAGAACATAAAATACTTTTCTGGAATTTTCTTAGTTAATATATATAAAGGACATTTTTCATTACTTCTATCTTTTAAGTCATCAGTTACCTTTTAAGTCATCAATATATTTGGAGTATTATTCAATTTGGATATTAAGTGATTTATTGGAGCCTGGATTATTTAAAAATAGTTAAAATTATTCTTGTGGATTTTATTGTGGGTCTTTATTCTAAAGTGTTCTTGGATTTAACTTCGATTTAACTGTGCAATTCAAAAAGGGATCATTCCAGGATCAGACAAGACATTTGAGATTTATATTTTTATTTGGATTTCAGGTATTTGTAAACATAAATTGTTATGTAATTTTTCTTTAATAATTTTTCTGTAATAAATTTGTTATAGTTACAAGTTTGTTGCTGGCTTTTCTTTCTCGTTACGCCTGGCTCGTAACAACATTATCATTTATTTAGGGTCGCTGGATCAACCTTAAACATTGATATATTCTTATTCATGTGTTTATTATATAGATGCTTATAAAAGGAAAATATTTATAGATATTAAAAATTGTCCAAGTATTGAAAAAACAATTGTTTTGTTAGATGTTCTTCTTTTGTAAAGGATGAAATAATTTGTCATAAGAATTCAATCTCCGGGGCAATTTATCTTTGTTAACAGCATTTTTAAGCAGATTGAACGACTAAACATAAGACAATATTCTTGCTACAGTATAAAGTAATTAGGGGTGTCAAGGTAAGCAAAAATGCTAACCGTTTTAACAGCGACTTATTAACCGTGAAAACGTTAAATTGAACATGTTAAAAGAATTCTTAGATTTTGAACATTAACTTTATTTTTATAATAAGAAAGCTCATTCTGTTACTATTTTGTTATACTTGACAATTATAAAACATCCGTGTGTCCGTTAAGAATGTACCGTACACGATAAGATAGCATGAAATAGGGGAAAACATAATTAAAATACAAACAAACTGTCATATCTTATCATAAATAAACAAAAGTAATGTTAGACACTAATCTAAGACTTCTTCATCTGTTGGTCTTAACCCACCTTAGCAGTTTTAATGGATAAGCGTGTGACACTCCAAAATGTAATGATAATAGAATAAAAATCAAAAGGTCATGCTTTATGAAAGCTTCTTTTTAAAAGCCAATATTCATTATTTTGAGATAAAAAAGAACGCTGTACCATTATATCACCCAAAATTTTGGGAGACATATGGTTGAAGCTTCGCCGTCTGTCTGTCCGTCTCTCCGTCCGTCCGTCTGTCCGCACTCACAGGACAGTAATTATGTGGCTACAGGGACAATAGGTAACTGTTCTTTCTCTTTGATGTCATTCATTCCGTAATGCTTTTATGTGGTTATTTTATTTTGTGTGGCTAAAAAAGAACAATAGAGAGAACAATAGAGTAGCCACATTATTACTCTCCTAGAACAATCGTCCGTCCGTCCGTTGTCCGTCCGCATCACGCTTCACAGGTCAAACTACTGGTGGGATTTCAACGAAACTTTACAGGAGTAATCAGTACAATCCCTAGTTGTGCACATCACCGGCACATTCCGCTTCGCTGCACAAAATGGCCGCCAGAGCTAAAAATAGAAAAATCTTGACCGCCCTTCACAGGTCAAACTACTGGTGGGATTTCATCTAAATTTTACAGGAGTGATCAGTACCATCCCTACTTGTGAACATTACCGGCATATTCCGCTTCGCTGCACAAAATGGCCGCCAGAGCTGAAAATAGAAAAATCTTGTTCGCCCTTCACAGGTAAAACTACTGGTTGGATTTCAACCAAGCTTTACAGGAGTAATCAGTACCATCCCTAGTTGTGCACTTTACCGGTACATTCTGCTTCGCTGCACAAAATGGCCGTCAGAGCTAAAATAAATTATTCTTGTCCAGCCTTCACAGGTCAAACTACTGGTGGGATTTCATCTAAATTTTACAGGAGTGATCAGTACCATCCCTACTTGTGAACATTACCGGCACATTCCGCTTCGCTGCACAAAATGGCCGCCAGAGCTAAAAATAGAAATATTTTGTTCGCCCTTCACAGGTAAAACTACTGGTTGGATTTCAACCAAGCTTTACAGGAGTAATCAGTACCATCCCTAGTTATGCACTTTACCGGTACGTTCTGCTTCGCTGCACAAAATGGCCGTCAGAGCTAAAATAGATTATTCTTGTCCAGCCTTCACAGTTCAAACTACTGGTGGGTTTTCAACCAAACTTTACAGGAGTGATCAGTACCATCCCTTGTGCACATCTTTGTTAAATTTCGCTGCAAAAATGGCCGCCAGAGCTAAAAATAGAAAAATCTTGTCCGGCCTTTTCGGTGGCGGAAGCCTAGCGATAAAGGTACATGTCTTTCACCGTAGGGATCATGGTTTCGAGCAATCTATGTCACGACCTATTGCCTCACATAAAACCAGTACAAGTTTGTTTCAGGGAGCACAATATAGAGTGGTTCGAATTAATTAACTTTCGTAGCAAACGATTAAATATAAATAATAAAATAATAATTACAATAAGATTTATTTACGTAAATATTCACTGAGGTGAAAGGAATCATTCATTCTTATTTTTTATACAAACTTATTTTGTTTGGTTGGCTTTTACATTGCACCAAAAAAGTAGGTGTCATATGGCGACTTTATAGATTGCTGGTTAAGGTAGACGTCAGATGCCCCTCCGTGCATTATTTCATTTATGAACGGGCACCTGGGTAGAACATCGACATTCCATGAGCAAGCTGGAGAGTTTTCTAGCATTAGAGAACACAAGTACCTAACAGGACTCAAAACAAACGCGGTGCATTTATCTAACACACTGGTAATCGAGTGCGTGTTTTTTCATAGGCGCGTGAATTCATGAATATATCTCGTCATTGCCATTTCAGACAAATTAAAAATTATCATTCCAACCTAAAATGGAAGACTTCTAAGATTAATTATATTGTACAAAATAGCTTTGAAGCATATTCTTGAAACTGTAAAAATTAACATTAACCTTATGATGCGAAATTGAAGTCTTATATTGCGAACAGAAGCATACTTGCTGCTTGAAGAAATAAATTTGGTCTGTTTACTCTTATGTTGCTTTACAATGGCAACAACATATTGTAAAAATATGGCAGCATAAGAAATGAATCAGTGTGTTGAAAACTCCACATGTACAATCACTATTCTTGACACATCTATGGCTAAGTAAACTGTTTTTTTCATCAAGCGAGGCACCGAAATACCTGCCAAATGTCTCATTTTCGTCGAAATCTTTACACATGAAATACGCCAGCGTCTTTGGTATGTCTTTCGCTTCGTCTTCTTCTTCTTCTTGTTCGTACGATTTCTATAACAGAAAAACGTGTTAAAGCTAAGATACTCTAAAAATAAAAACGTTATACAATGTGCTTACCTTTTAAAGGCTAATTATGGTAAATAGAGTTTCTAAGAGACAATAAGATAATAAGTTTGCTTTAATGTTTAAAAAAGTACATTGTAACAATTAATGAAAAAGAAGTAATCATAATAATTAGATTGTGATTTGTCAGAGGTATTGAATCAGTAGGGGGAAAAGTATTACATTTTAAGAATGGCTCATTCAACTCAAATATAAGATACAAATATAAATAGCTTTACCTTAACGACTTCGTAAGCGCTGTTAAACAATGCTATCAAGAGGTTTAATACAAACAATGTGAAGATGATTACATAGACAAAGATGATAACTCTTGAAAACAAATATATATTTTGTTGGTCTCCAGCCTCTTCCTTTTTTAGATATGCAAACGACGCAAACATTTCGTCACCATTTATCAACGAAAATAATGTTTCCGCAGTTGTAGAAAGTTTGTCAAACTGAAAATATGCCAATTTTACTTATTGTGGTTATACATCAGCCTAAATCACTTGACAGTTTTAATATTATTTTTTTTTATTTTTCCTGTATAACTTGGTTGAGATTACATTGACAGAGTAAACATTTTTCGATGTTAACTTTTTGCGTTTGGACATAATAAGCATTATGGCTTGTGTTTATAATTTAATTTATAGGAGAATACCAGTAATAGCCATATAGATTGAAAAGTGTCGGTGTTACGTAAAACAATTGTATTGAAGGGGTTTAAATACCTTAACATTGTATGGTCCAAGTACAACATATATACCAAACAGAAAACCCACAAAGATGATCGTTACACATGTCAAGAAAAAGATGACATCTACAGCTGATCTTTTGAGTGTTTTGAACAACAACTGAAATAAATATCAAAATGAAACGCTAAAGAAAAAATCCGTTCTTCATCAACTTGTCACAGCACAGTTTATTCTTTTTCGATTAGTACATTTTAAACTTGTCTTATAATTGCTGATATATAAATTTAAAGAAAATAGCAAAAGCCAAAGATTTCATTTACGGAATGTATTTGTTTTTGTATTTTAAACTTTAATCTAATTTCTAATCAATTATTACCAACATTGATTGTCATTTATTATTATCATCATTATTAATATTATTATTATTATTATTAATATTTTGTTATTAGCTTAATAGCTGTCGATTTTTACTTTTAAGAAACATGCATGTGCATGTAATTTTTATTGATATTTTCCGCAAATTAAAGCAGTTCAAACCAGATGGATGCAAAAATTGAATTGTCATCTTTAAATATCAATTCTATAGTGAAATGAATACGGGAACATCCATTGTTTCTTAATACTTGTTCTTTTTTATGTGGAACAAATGTTCAAATTGAGGATTTATGATAATCTATATTTACTTACCGTGAACTTGTGATTAATTTTTATAAATCGTAACATAGAAAACCATGTCAATAAACATCCTGAGCCAATATACACAACATTCTTGTCCCATTCTTTCAAAGGCTGTTTGAAATCACTGTCATCGCCGAGCTTTAGGTATTCAAAAATGTTAAGAAGCAGTCAAGTAGGTCTAATAATGGACATAAAACCGGTATGTATTTAAAAGTGTTTTTATCGCATGATTTTCTGTTCCGCATTGACTGCTGCAAGTAGCCCTAAGTACATATTATTAAAGACTGTAGAAGAGATATTGCTTTGGACTGGACAGTGACAATAGAATTATACTCTTAGCAAATTTGTCTATATATAAACTAAAAAGGATATTTCCAAAAACAAAGAAGAAATCTTAACAATTAGTTTATCACATACCCGTTCCGCTTTTGCTGCTCCGAAAAAAGGCGAGCTAAATTTTAGCGTTACACTATATGCGCGGCAAGGAAAAATGATTCTTTTTAACTTGAAAAAATCTTTATTTTTGGGTATGTGATAAAAAAAATATTATATTCGTGTAAGTTAATTTCTGTATTTATTAAACTCGTTGAATATTTAGCAAAAGACTCGAATAAAACAATTCTATTCATCTCGATATATGAATTCAGTATTGAACTTACAATCATTCAATATTGTCTATTTTTCTATCAAATACCAAACTATCAGCTTTCTTTCTCATTTTCACAGTGAAAAAATATGATTAAACTACTTGTATTGCTTACAAATAACAGAATTTCTTTGGCAAAACTATCACTGTTCATTATCTTATCATGATTAGATTACACTAATATTAAGTCTTTCATTATTTTTTGTTTGTTACAAAGTTGCAACGTTTAAACATCAAACCAAAGGAACCATCGCCATTTGCGTTTAAAATTAAATCTCTTCGCATCTGGCTTAAAACCTAAAACATCACTACGAATTTAATTAAGAAATACTTTGGTCATTAATTTGATAATTATTTATTGACGTGTGAATTTTTTTTTATAAATTTGTCTTACCGTTGACACTATCCATGTAACACCCGCCAATGTGAAGGCATCACCAATAATAGATGTAATATACCACAAATTTACATTACCAAAATACTCACTCCATGGAAGATTACGTTCGTCAACCGAAAGGTAGATAGTAAAGTAATTTTTTTTCATGTAGCGATATGTTATCTGGTAAAAAAAGAAATAACTTTAAAGCTGAAATTTAATAATAATTTACGAACGTGTGAATCTTTTTTGTTTTATATAAATTTGTCTTACCGTTGACGCTATCCATACAACACCCATCAATGTGAAGACATCACCAATAATGGATGTAATATACCACCATTTTATATTACATAAATACTCACTCCATGAAAGATTATCTTCTTCGCGCGACTCACCGTAGATATCATGATAATTATCCTTCATGTAGAAATATGTTCTCTACTCAAAAAGAAAAGATATAACTTTAAAGATGAAAATTGAAAGGAAAATTTTATGCGCGATATCTGACTAAAAGATAATTGAATAGGATCAAATTTGTTGGAAGGTATGTTACACAGGCAAATGTGTATTTCACTGAAGAATATGTTATCATATTTAAAATGACACAAAACAACAACTCAATATGATTATTTTCAATAGTATTGAACATTGTAGGTCAAAGACAATTGAGCGGTATGTTATATATGATCCTTCTCACTCGTAAAAATAGTAGTACAATGTACAAATTAAGGAAAAATTGCGTCTCATATCTTAAGCTTGACAGACATGATTTATAAAAATACCAATATATGAATAAAAAAGGGACTCTACCAGCAATGCAACTATCATGCGTAACAAATAATTTGTATGCACAGTTTACTCACAATCAATGTAATGATTATTCCCGAAAGTGTTATGCCATCGACAATCGAAGTGATGATTGACAAGTATTTAACACATTTGGCATCATGCCCAGTGTATCCTCTACATTGTGGAGAATCTGTAATACAGAAATGTTATCCAAACACTCATGTTTACTCTGAATTTTTATTCCAAACATATACAAGAATTAGGTTCATTTTCAGAGACAAGACACTTTACACTAATTGCTAAGTATTAGTTAAGTACAAAAGCGGATTCGAAAGGTTTTTTGAATGAGCTTTTAGCTTCCAACACAATCTAACTAAAATAGATTCGAACAAAAGTAAACTAAGCGTAATTGTGATAATGACTTTGTAATATGAATAATCACTGTTAAAAATGGTTTCCATCTTATACAATTATTGAGATAATGTAATAGAATTATTATGAATTTCAAAGCAAGGAAATACGACGGTTGTTCGCGAAGTCCGTGTAAAAAGTTGTTTATAGAAAATAAATAAACTATATCAAGATAAGAAAATGCATCACTAGAAAATTTATTTCATTACAAATACTGTGAAATACTGCACATGAATTTTACAAAACATGAAAATACTATGGATTACATAAAACACAATGCATGTAAGTACAACCGGAGCAATGGCGAGGCGCTCAACGTCAAAAGTCAAGTTTTTTCTATGTAGTCACCGCCTATGTGCTCGCATATATGATGCCGGTGGATCCATTTCTGAAAGGTTTCTGAATACCACTCTTCGTTGCAATAATGATTTAAGTAGTCTTGAAACGAATTCCTCGTAGCTGTGCCTTTAGTTCAGAAATAGAGTCTGAAGTATATGTGAGCTAGGTCTGGACTGTAAGTTACGTGCGTATAGTAGCAATTCAAAGCCAAGTAAGTCTATTTCAATCGTAGCATCTCTTACCGTATGGTACGAAGCGCTATCTTGATGCAGAATTACTCTCTCGAATGGTAAATCGGGAAGTTTCGTTCATAATGCACTTGCGAAACCCTCTTCAGAACCTAAAATACGCAAGTGCAAGCATACTGAGTTTTGGCAGTAATAATAATTTGTCCGTACATCTGTGTGTAATATCATTTATTACTTATTGTAATGATATTTTATCATTTTATGTAAATATTAAAGTTTTTAATTATAATGTTAAAATTTACCTTTGAATAATACTGTGTGTTCATGGTTTGCTCGTCCGGAATCTGGTATTGCAGAATCATGCTCTTTCTGTCCATGAAGAATAGGAACATCTGCTTGCCGCCGTTTCTTGTTAATTTAGCTTGTTCTTTGGGGTGTTCTCTGTGGGTCTTTCATATGGATGACTGAACTTTTGATTCAGGGTTGTAGTGCCACAACCAAGTTTCATCAAGCGTAACAATGCGGTCTAAAACATATCACCTAACTCCAATCACCTCATCTCGCGTTTTTAATTTAGACATATTTACTTTTTCCACATTTTTTCGGTCTTACAACTGATGGTCGGCTAGTCTTAGGCTCTGTTGAAATTGAAGTAAAACCATTTCGGAACCCATTGCACCACTAAAAAATGAAATACTATTTTTACGTTTTAAATCACTTTACCGTTTCCCTTGCCTGTTTTTGGTATGTGGCCTTAACCCGCGCATAATTTCAGCGACGCTCTTACTTCGACGTTGTCGTTTGACGCTACGTCGGATGAAGTATCGCTATGTTGCTATTTACAAATTTTATGACAACTTTGCAACCGGAAGCATTACAGTAGTGAACTTTGACGAAATGACGACAAGACTCAAGCTAATGTCAAAAATGTTTCTCGAAAAATATCTTCACGACTTAAGCATAAAATTCGCAAAATTAAAGGCGCTATAAATTCGGGCGAAGCTTTAAAATAATGGTTGCTCCGGCCGGCGTTACACGCGTTTATCATATTATGGCATTGCATAAGTGTGTTATGAATGGACATCTAAATAAAACGACTTGGTTACAATAATTATTTCAGTTTACACGGAGTTCGCGAACAGCCCTAGTATATTATCTGCAACATTTATGACTGAATTAAGAATATTGTGTAATAGAATGTAATCCTGCAAATCGGATGTTGTGTTTTAACTGGTAGTTAATTTGAGACTTTAATAAACAGGTCTAAAAAATACATAAATACAAATGATGTAAATCTGTAACCTATTTTGGTAATAGCAAACTAAGGCATGTTCTAATGTCAGGATTTTCTCTAATATGAAGAAAATTATTTTCAAATGTCACAATTCTAGCCTGTGCAAGAATATATACTACTCCTTTCGATGTGATAAAAGGATTTTGACTGACTTTATTATTTGAAACGACCATTGCAGCATGAGAATATATTGTTCATCAAACATTTTTGGAATCCATTAAGCCCAACCACTTATCATTTACATCAAGTGAAAACAAGATCCTTGTTGTTTCGATCAATATATTATTGTCACAATTCAAAAGGTATCTCTTTTGCAATCATAGAAAGTAGAATTCCGTTTTGTCATTAGAGTTCACATTCTAAGCTGCATTTATAGAATACAAACACGTGAAAAAACAATTTAGCCATCCCATTTAATTTATATGTTCTGGAAATAAAAGTGGAAAACCGTTTCTAACCTTTTAGCGAAAAATTCATTTTAGAACATGATATTGGCAAAGTATTAGTGCTGAGATCAACGGTGACCTGCCCATTGTGGTTATCATCATCAAATGTTACCTGTTAACAAAAACAAAATACTTCTGAACAATTTCAGAAATAAAAATCAGAAAAAAATCCCATAAACTTAAAGAATGTGTAATCAGCTATATTTGTCAGCAAATGTTTGGTATAAAGTTAAGGGGAGAACTTTGTAATGTAATCACAACCTGTCAATTAACCTCGTTAAATGATCGTACTAGTAAATATAACCCAATAACATAGAGTTGCTCGAATAACAATTGCAATAAAAGATATATACTTAACGTGAATGAAAATCAGAACTTTAAAAAAAGAGAGCACATATCGTATGCAAAATGATGCGATTGAATTTTCTGAAGTTTGTTTATGTTCCATTCACTGATTCATTGTCTGCTGTGTTTTCAGCACACAAATTATCTGCAATTATCTAAGATTACTCACATTTCCGTATATATGCTGACATCTGGAATCGTTATACGACCTGCTTACTCTTAGCGTGTGCAATGAAAACATAATGTTCAAAAACAACATTCTGCAGAGAAACAAACATAGAACTATGTTGAAATTCTTATTTTTAACAATCAGGTAAATTAAAGATTAATATATACATTCCGAGTAAGTCAATGCATCCAAGAATTTTATAAAATAAATTTTAATGCAATAAATAACACTGCATTATCTAAGAAAGTTGCTTTACCGTTTCGTTCAATGTTAAAAGTAAAGTATTCTGATCGAACCAAAACCAAATAACCTTTTTCCGACAGTATAGAAACAGGTTTGTCTTGTCCGTACACTGAGACTCATTTTTTATATATTAATATTAAATAAAAGATCATTTCAGCTTTAATATGACTATTCCAAAAAAAAAAAAAAAAAAAAAACGGGACAAATGCATTATCCTTATTTACATCGTTAAAGGCTAACTAACTGTGATGATCGAATGAATAATAGAACAGATCTAATAAAGATTTATTCACAATCACTTGTATGGCATTTTACTCAATATATCAGTTTTTCATTTAGCCACTTGAGATTTTCACGTTTTTTCTTCCAAACACATGTTTTTGAAAGGACTGTTTATCATTTCGGTCACTTAGCTGTATTGTTCTTCAATTACTCGATGCCAAATTTAATAAAATCCAAACCCATCCTTCACTTTATTTTTGATTCTTATTCTAAAAAAATATGGAGACTCTAAAAAGGTTATCGAAACGTTTCCAAAATTCCGATGATTACTCAATTGCTTACCAAAGCGTATATTGTAGCAAGGTGAAATGCATGGCGTTCTTTTGGACATAAGCTAAAAGTTCAATTTGCTTTTTACCTTAAAGGAACCTCAATGAGGTCCAAATCTTCAAAACTTAAAATTTAAAATTCTAACTTATATCAGCTGGAACATTCAATACAGAAAAATATAAGCAAAAGATATTCAAGAAAACTACCTAGAAATGAATTGAAACACGTATATCTGTGCTATTCTTAGCCCGATTGAGTGAAAGAGTTTCACGATTTACAATTTTGGGCAACGTTTACCATTAGAATAATTAATAGGCAAAAAAAGAGTGAGAGAATTGTCTTTAAATTTTGAATACAAGTTATTGGTCTAGACCTACATTAATCTCAAAATTTATTTCAAGTCCTATCATGTCAAAGAAAACTTAGAAGAGTCCCTTTAATGTGTAAATGGTACATAATTAAACAAAAATATACATGTTTACCTGTCAAGAGAAGATGAAATATTGAGCATGTCTAGCTCCTCTGTTATATTGTAGCTATATATTGTATGACCATCGGTATCTTGGTATTTTGACAATCCATAGTGTGGCTCAAAGCTTTTCTGGACTTAATCAATATAATATACCTTTTTAAAGCAAATTTGAAGTAATATGTATGCAGTTATGTATGCAACATATTACATGTATATAATTTATATCTGACCAGTTGGTATTTCCAATATTATCATTGTTCTATTTTAGAACATTAACTACATGCATGTCAACAAGAAGTTTCTTAACTGTTATAGAAAATTCTAGATTATGATTCGTGCATTATATTTAGATAGAAATTTCCAGATTATTCTTTGTTGTTGAAAGTGCTAGATTATGATTACTCTATAACATAATAGACTTTTCTGGAATGTTCCTAGTTTACATATATATTACGGGATATTTTTCATTTCTTTTATCTTTTAAGTCATCAGTTACCTTTTAAGTCATCAATACATTTGGAGTATTAATCAACTTGGATATTAGGTAATTTATTGAAGCTTGGATTTTAAAATAGATTTAATTATTCTTGTGGATTTTATTGTGGGAATTTATTCTAAAGTGTTCTTGGATTTTACTTGAATTTAACTGTGCTATTCAAAAAAGGATCATTCCAGGATCAGACTAGACATTTGAGATTTCATTTTTATTTGTACTTAGGTATTTGTAAACATAAATTGTTATTTAATTTTTCTTTAATAATTTTTCTGTAATAAATTTGTTATTGTTACAAGTTTCTTGCTGGCTTTTCTCGTTACGCCTGGCTCGTAACAATTAATAAGTTAAAAGTGTTGTTGGGGAGAAAAGTGAGTTTTCACATTACATAGTAAGCAAACTAGGCATCATGTTGCAAAACTGAGACATATTCCTTCCGTTTCATGTAGAAAGTATTGTGCCCTTTGTATTGAAAATCTTTTTAAGTACATGTACAATGAACAGGTCACCAAAGCAAACATAGATCTTTATACAAAAGTAAATAAGAATGGTTTTAAAACTCAACAATTCCTTTCCCTTCTCTTTAATATTAAGATCATTATCAAACAACTCACTTACTGTTTGAGACAATTCTATTAAAACGATGGAATTCATGATCAAGTTCCAGATCAAAATAAACGAGACGTATCGTTATAGAATCACTCTCAAATTTCTTGAAATATCCAGTTGTTGTAACTTCAGCGTTAAAGACCTGAAAAATGCATGTACAAACTTTACATATATATAAACATCTTATACTCCGACGTAGACAATTTTTTCAATTAAAATAATATTTTCATTTACAAATTGTAAATAGAAATAACAAAACGATAGTGTATGTTATATTAAGAACATGAAGTATAATAATTTAGTTGACTGGTACTGCCATTCAACGCTTTCATACATAGTCCAATTATTGTCCTCATGTTGTGATAACAAATTAAGAATAAATTAGCATTATGAATACATAATTTCAAGAAAAGTTTGTAAAATATTTGACCAAAACAATGTATTTTCGTTCAGTTTGTTCTCAATCTGTTGACGATTTCGAATTTATAAATTATAAAAAAGATTAGCATAGACTGAATTGACTTTTTATGAATGTGATGTAATCTTTTTTCTGATACAGACTTAATTACACACATTTTCGACGGCATAATTGATCCTCTTTCGTAGATCTTTCTGATTATAAACAGCGAACTTCCCAATAGACGGAGGATATGGCAACGTCTCAAAGCCTGAAACGTGTAATGTATTTTAATAAAGTTCTGTCAGTCAAATATGGTGATAGGCAAGATTGGCATTAGGGTTAGTGTCTGCAACTCCTGAACTGGCAGTGCGATGACTTCCGAGAGAATTTTAAGGATGTATTTTGTACAAAAACGGTGTATTTAGGGTATTCTGAATTTAAAATATATTTCATTAATAAATTTGCGTTTCCTCATTACATTGTTTTCGTATGAAGATATTTACTGATTTCGTAATACTTTAATTGTTGATTGAGGAATACCTGAGTCATCATTGATCCGCGCCCACAGGCACAGATCTATTTGTGATTACCTTTTTTTCTTGTCCATGAACTCGATTTTAATCAATTAATCCCTTGGATTTACAGCTAAAAATAAATTCGAAATCAAGAACTCCTTCCGATTTCTATCATGTAAAGTTATATATTGGTTTCCCCTTCGGTGACTCGCAGTATGTCATGAATGAGAACGTGAACAAATTTCACTCCTCAACCCCGGGGAAGGCAGTGTAAAAGAAAGGAAAATTATTTTGAATTCGGTAATTTGGTTCTTACATTTGTATATTCTACAGGAAATTACTTATTACTTTTTGTAGTACACAGGGGCTTATGTATGCATGTTATTGCTGCACATGCATTCGAAATAAATAAATAAATGACTTAGCTAAACATGGTGAAAGTCCGAAAATCTATATATAAAAGTAATTATAGTTTTGAGTCTCTAAAACTAAACGAAACGGTCTTACGTGCCGCACTATGGTAATAAAGAACGAACTGAGTAAATATGCAGGGAATGAAATGCAGTCATATTTAGCAATACATTGCACTCTTTATAAATTTTTGATAAAAAGGTACGCCATTAATTCACGAATTGTTATAGCATAGTATTATCATTTTTAAATTGTTTTTTTCGTAGGTTCTTTCCGGTAAATTAATAGCTCCTTCAATCTTACGGCCCTGATTGCACTTCTGACATTTTTTACCGTGAACATTTTAACCGACCTTGATTTCCTGAATTTTTGCAGTAAGAAGTTGATTCTATTTTATTTGAAGGCACTCGCTTTTATGGTTGTTTGAGTGGAATGTTGATTTGCCGAATACTATGACATTTCAACAATAGAAACTTTCGTCTGCAGTTTTAACATGAGGTTTTTGTGTTTAGGAATGTTAACACATTGCTGGGTTTGACGAAGACGAAGAGTTTTGTTTCATTTTGTTTCATTTCAGAGTGTGTTCTACTTTCAGTACCTTTCTGGGACTTGGGACTTGAAATATAACTACTGTATTTTAAGTCCCAGGTATTTATAGAAACCATTTTCTTGAATTTGACATGAACAAAATGCATAACTATATCAGTTCCTTTTGTTGCTATTTTCTTTTACTGTTTGTTTATTTGTTACAATTATAATAATAAAAAACAGACTTTGTTCATTTTGACTACTGTTTTGTATGTTTCAAAAATACATTAAATATTCTAATCTCTATCAAGCCTAACAAAGTTTATGATGAACCATGTCTTTCGTCCGCCCATTTATCTATAATATAAAATTCTGGTTAAATCCAAACAAAAACATTAAAATGCTTTGCACTTGATTAAATGCTTTGCATTAATGCTTTAAGTGTTACATCATGATATACCATTTGCGCGTATTTTGTAAAGGACATTTTGAAAAATAAAGTCGGTAGAAGTTTTGTTTAGGCTTATTTACATATGGAAAAGCATGATTAGTTGTTGCTATTTGTAGAAAAGGAGTAGCATTATATGTGAAAAAGAAAATGTACATGCTTTGATATTTTTTATCATCTAATATTACTGACTACAGTAGTAACACAACCAGAACAGTGTTGCACGTCTGTCATGTCACATTACATTTACAAGCCGTGTAAGTCTTGTTTGTATTGGCCTTACTTTCCTTACCAGATAGGCATCGGTAAAAGTATTTAAAAAAATAAAAAAATATATATGGCCCCACTCTCAAGGACAGTGCATACGATAAGTATAATTATGAAAAAAAAAAAAAAAAAAAAAAAAAAAAGATTTACAAAACATCTGGAATAACGTTCAATAGTACTTAATCTGAATAGAACATGACCTGTGCGTGAGAATGATTTGGTACGGTATCTGTAATGAGCGCACTTTTGCGCTGACCTCAATTGCTGCATTGCAGCAACAATTGTACTTGTTATGGTATAGTGTTGTCAGCTATTTTTACATGGATGACGCATATTTAAAAAAAAACTTTCAATCTTTAGAGATTTCTCATGTTTTGTACCCGTATCTGTGCAGTTCTATTCAATAATGTGAGTTATTTTACGTATTTTATTTAGTAAAACACTGTTAAAGATCTTATAACACAATTTTTTCATGGTTTTATTTCATAAATATGATGCTCTAATTATGATTTGTCAACATTGTATGTTCCAATAAGCATTATTTATAAAGATAAAACCCAGTTTTACATTCCATGTAAATAAAGGGAGGTAATTAGAAATTTATTTTCTGTAAATTCTAAGTCAAATTTTCCAATAAGAAATGAGTGCATGTAGTTTATTGATTAAATATAATGTGCACAAATATTTGCTGTACACATTTTACAAATTCTTCGATGTTTGAAAATTGTTTAATTTGCATAATTATAAACATATATATTTTTTTGCAAGTGTGGTACAAACACAGTAACAATATCAATCACAAAACATACAGGATCTTTAACGCTCTAAGCCTACATATGTATATTTACTAGTAGATAAAGTACAGCTCTAGACTTCTGGAAAATAACACATTGTTGCTTATTGGTCTGCGTATCACTTTTCTTAATTATTTAGCAAATAAGTTGATATTATTAAGAATATTAACAGACGACCTTTACATATTGTATTAAGATTCAAAATCATAGGTCTTCAGTCGACATTTCTTATTCAGCTAAATAATCGATTAAAATTAATATCTCCATTAGACGCCCTTTGTCTTGTGAATTATGCAAATTAATCACGATTCATGGAACCCTCCGTGTATAGCCTTTTACTTCAGTTACGTATTTATCATATATCATATCAATATATTCGATAAAACTTTTAGCAAATAAAAAACTTATTTAAAACAAACACATTAAACTAAAAATAATCTCAGCATAAATGTGTTTACTTGTTCAAGCTATCGTAGATTTACGAGTTATAGTAGAAAGAAAATCTTACTTGCATCCCAATTTTTTAATAAGTTGTGATGTAACGCTATGTATCCATCTTCTATGCTACTGAACACAGTTTCACGACAATTTCCTATTTGAAAAGTCTGTAAAATAATGAGTCTGGTAAATATTCTTTCCTTTTTTGTTCCAAAGGTTTACTTATTTCTAATTGACTAGAAAAAAGACGCAAATAAACATGTATCATTTGATCATTACACAGAACATTCAGTTGTCTTTGAAAAAGTTATGTGTATTTAACCATACTTAAATATATCACATTGTTTCTCTTTTACAATTATACATAGTTCAAATAACACATATAAGCGTCTAAAGATATATGATTGTTTCTCTTAAAACCAACAGTGTAATATATAATAATTCGACCTGCAAATTCACTGTATACCAAAAGGAGAAATATAGTATTTTAGATTAAATCACGATAAGCCTATGGGTTTGGTATAAATGGCACTGCGTTCTTTAAATTTTGCAGCCATTTCGTCAATTTCGTTTTCTATTTCACACAATATCCAAACAAAAACGGACGTATGGGTGGATATGTGGACAATTTTGCCGTCATCAAATAATGTTACATGTAGGTGTAATTAAATCCTCAAATGTGACCGGTAAACAACCGAATTATTCTTTAATCTAGACATACCAGCATTGTTAGGTAGCAAGTCTTTGTGATGAAGATGGCAAACCAAACTAGGTGGATAGCACTTAACCAGCAACCATCTCTCTTCCATTTTATCGGCGAAAATAAGAAGAATCTTAAGGCGAACACTAGCCAGAGAGTGCCTGTAGTTTTTAATTTCATTATATAAATTATATATACATAAGAAAATCAAAAATGAGGAAAATGTACTAAGATTGTAAGGAAAGTATGATATGAAAGAAAAGCAATATATTCAATATTAAAGTAGTTATTAACATGTAATGTGCGATTAATGTTTGATTTAAAAGTATTTATCATCACATATCTACTGCGTAAATAACGCAGCAAGGGATATTTTGCATATTTCTGAATTCCATTTGCTAATTTATGTGGCCGTTTGCAATATGTTATTAACTTCACAATATTTTACTTGTAACTGAAATTTCTGAATTTTCATTTAAATCAGCGGAAATCTGGGGGCATGTTGTAAAAACCAACTGAGAAAAACATCAACGATGATGAAGACCAATTTAATTAGATATTAAACCTTTCTTTTTCGACATTTACTTCCGTCAATTCACATTTATTACCTATTGGTTTAGCAGGTGCTGGTACGTGATTTTCTCCATTTGCTTGAGTACGAAGATTAGCTTCGCCGTCGTCGTTTTCAGAATTTGTAATGTCATCTACAGAGATAACTTTATATACATTATTTGAACTTCAATTGAGTACAGATTTAATAAATGTTATATACTTTACCACAATGAAATCATCAGAGAGATATATAATAAACGTATTTTTTCCATTGATATTTTCACTGTTTAAGTTGTAGCTGTTTACTTTTGTGTTATTGTTATGGTAAAGATAACACCTCTTAAAAATATTGAATTAATGCGGTAACAAGAGGACAATGTGATATATCAATCTGAATAAAATCAGCTCTAAATTACGCACCGCTTTCATATCTGAGCGTGACCATATTCCAAACTATTTCTGGTGACTATTCACACAGCCAATCATTGGCGAGCTTTCATACTTTTGAAAGCGATATGGTTGCTAACTTTAACCATGGGAAAACCAATTTTGAGTAAGTAATATTCACGATTTCGAAGAAAACATGGCGTTGTCCATTATAGCCGACATGTAAACCGGCAAAACAATCTTGCCCATAAAAAATTGGCTCTTTTTTTCAAGTACTTTGTTAAAAAATTACTTCCAACATTTTTTTTTCTAACAAAAATCAACAATTTGTATAACCTCCACGTATAACGGTATTTTGATACTTCTTCTTATGCCTATGTAAAAACCGGTTTGATTGCATGGCTAAAATAGCTTTCTCGGGAAATCCGAATTATAAGGGAGGCGAAACATATACCGTCGTCTTAGATCTACATAAAAGAAATAAGTTGATCTGAACTTTAGTCAGATTCTGTGATATATCAGCTGCTGAACATGGGGCATAAGTACAAAAGACTGATAATTATCATATTAACCAATATTTATTAAGATAAGGAAAATGAAATGTTGTCGGAACAGAATTGCTGCAACTGTCAAAATTAGAGTATCTACAAGAAAAGAATTGACAAAGAGGGGTACAAAAAGATATAAAAAACCAACAAAAATAGATAGATATTTAGAAGAACAAAATATATTCAAATGATAATACAAAAGACAGGCAGAGTAAAAGGGAAAAAAACAACATCATCATTATACCATGGCTGAGTGTAGGGTTCAAACCTATGAGTGCAAATCATTAGAAGTTACGGTGACGATGATTTACCAAATGAGCCACTACGATAGTACACTTTCTTATCAAAATTAAACTGTACACAGTTGTTGACACTTTCAGTCTCAGATAATATGGCGACTTATCCTTTAATGGACTTTCCTAAGTACTGTTAGTACCAAATTATCATCCCAGGACGATAAATTGCTGAAATTATTTGACACATGATGTTAACAACAGTGGTCTTTGTTTTACGACATCTACTTTACGGTACAGGTAAAGGTAAGTTTGTATAAAACCCCGAAATACCGATAATTGCTACTTATTTCGTAATAAATTGCACATTAAATTTTATAATTATTGGATTAGAATGATACAATAGTAAATAGAAAACTTTAGGAAAGTATTTAAAGATGTATCGGCGATATTATTATCTCATTGGTACCATAGTTTAAACAAACACAAAAGTGTTGTGATGAAGTTTCTAATGTTGCAATCGGCGATGAAAACTGAAAATTATGTTTATAATAAATATTTAATTGGTCGGTTAACGGCACCACTTTTCAAAATGGTTGTATTAGGTTGTGTTTTCCTTGTAAAAATAATAAGTTTTGAAATGTTAAAATAAAAAAATAAGGAAAGTGTATGCATCGCATCTTGTTATTGGAGAGAAACTGCGCAGTAAGGGATGTTTACTTTATTTTATTTATTTTTTATTTATTTTTTTTTGCATAATTCAAAATTCCATTTTGTAATTTACGTGGTCTTATGCGATGTAATAATTTTTTTTGTTTACTTTAAAATGAAATTTCAATATTGTCATCATAATCAGCATGAATATGGAGACATGTTGTTAAAACCAATCGACAAAATCATCAAGTTGAATGTGGAACTTAAATAATTTAATTAAATATTAAACCTTCCTTTTTCGACGTTATATTTTTGCCAATTCACATCAATTACCTTTTGGCTTAGACGGTTTTGATCCATCTGCTTGTGTAGAAAGATCAGCTGCATCGGCGTTGTTTTCAGAATTTCTTTTTTCATCTACGAAATAAATTTTATCTACATTCAGTTCAGTTGAGTATATATTTTATCATTGCTATATACTTAACAACAATATAAATGTATTATTTCCATTGATATTTTGATTTTATAAATTATATTTCAGTTGCCCTTTACTTTTATGTATTTGTAAATACTGGTAAAGATAAAACCTTTAAAAACAAAAACTTAAGAGCTACAAGGCAACAAGAGGACAATGTGACATATCAGCTGCTGATCATGGGGCATATTTCCTTACCAGATAGGCATCAGTAAAAGTATTTAAAAAAATATATATGGCCCCACTCTCAAGGACAGTGCATACGATAAGTATAATTATGAAAAAAAAAAAATTTACAAAACATCTGGAATCTTGAACAATAGTACTTAATCTGAATAGAACATGACCTGTGCGTGAGAATGATTTGGTACGGTATCTGTAATGAGCGCACTTTTGCGCTGACCTTCTCAATTGCTGCATTGCAGCAACAATTGTACTTGTTATGGTATAGTGTTGTCAGCTATTTTTACATGGATGACGCATATTTAAAAAAAATACTTTCAATCTTTAGAGATTTCTCATGTTTTGTACCCGTATCTGTGCAGTTCTATTCAATAATGTGAGTTATTTTACGTATTTTATTTAGTAAAACACTGTTAAAGATCTTATAACACAATTTTTTCATGGTTTTATTTCATAAATATGATGCTCTAATTATGATTTGTCAACATTGTATGTTCCAATAAGCATTATTTATAAAGATATAACCCAGTTTTACATTCCATGTAAATAAAGGGAGGTAATTAGAAATTTATTTTCTATAAATTCTAAGTCAAATTTTCCAATAAGAAATGAATGCATGTAGTTTATTGATTAAATATAATGTGCACAAATATTTGCTGTACACGTTTTACAAATTCTTCGATGTTTGAAAATTGTTTAATTTGCATAATTATAAACATATATATTTTTTTGCAAGTGTGGTACAAACACAGTAACAATATCAATCACAAAACATACAGGATCTTTAACGCTCTAGGCCTACATATGTATATGTTCTAGTAGATAAAGTACAGCTCTAGACTTCTGGAAAATAACACATTGTTGCTTATTTGTCTGCGTATCACTTTTCTTAATTATTTAGCAAATAAATTCGAAATCATAGGTCTTCAGTCGATATTTCTTATTCAGCTAAATAATCTATTAAAATGAATTAAGTGCCTGTAGTTTTAAATTTCATTATATAAATTATATATACATAAGAAAATCAAAAATGAGGAAAATGTACTAAGATTGTAAGGAAAGTATGATATTAAAGAAAAGCAATATATTCAATATTAAAGTAGTTATTAACATGTAATGTGCGATTAATGTTTGATTTAAAAGTATTTATCATCACATTTCTACTGCGTAAATAACGCAGCAAGGGATATTTTGCATATTTCTGAATTCCATTTGGTAATTTATGTGGCCGTTTGCAATATGTTATTTACTTCACAATATTTTACTTGTAACTGAAATTTCTGAATTTTCATTTAAATCAGCGGAAATCTGGAGGCATGTTGTAAAAACCAACTGAGAAAAACATTAACGATGATGAAGACCAATTAAATTAGATATTAAACCTTTCTTTTTCGACATTTGCTTCCGTCAATTCACATTTATTACCTATTGGTTTAGCCGGTGCTGGTACGTGATTTTCTCCATCTGCTTGAGTACGAAGATTAGCTTCGCCGTCGTCGTTTTCAGAATTTGTAATGTCATCTACAGAGTTAACTTTATATACATTATTTGAACTTCATTTGAGTACAGATTTAATAAATGTTATATACTTTACCACAATGTAATCATTAAAAAGATAATATAATAAACGTATTTTTCCATTGATATTTTCACTGTATAAGTTGTATTAAAGTAGCTGTTTACTTTTGTGTAATTGTTAATATTGGTAAAGATAACACCTCTTAAAAAACAAGATATTCAATTATTGCGGTAACAGGAGGACAATGTGATATATCAATCTGATTAAAATCATCTCTAAATTACGCACCGCTTTCATATCTGAGCGTGACCATATTCCAAACTATTTCTGGTGACTATTCACACAGCCAATTATTGGCGTGCTTTCATACTTTTGAAAGCGATATGGTTGCTAACTTTAACCATGGGAAAACCAATTTTGAGTTGTTAATATTCACGATTTCGAAGAAAACATGGCGTTATCCATTATAGCCGACATGTAAACTGGCAAAACAATCTTGCCCATAAAAAATTGGCTCTTTTTTCAAGTACTTTGTTAAAAAATTACTTCCAACATTTTTTTTCTAAAAAAATCAACAATTTGTATAACTTCCACGTATAACGGTATTTTGATACTTCTTCTTATGCCTATGTAACCGGTTACATTGCAAGGCTAAAATAGCTTTCTCGGGAAATCCGAATTATAAGGGAGGCGAAACATATACCGTCGTACCGATCTACATAAAAGAAATAAGTTGATCTGAACTTAAGTCAGATTGTGTGATATATCAGCTTCTGAACATGGGGCATAAGTACAAAAAGACTGATAATTATCATATTAACCAATATTTATTAATATAAGGGAAATGAAATGTTGTCGGAACAGAATTGCTGCAACTGTCAAAATTAGAGAATCTAAAAGAAAAGAATTGACAAAGAGGGGTACAAAAAGATATAAAGAAACCAACAAAAATAGATAGATATTTATAAGAACAAAATATATTCAAATGATAATACAAAAGACAGGCAGAGTAAAAGGGGAAAAAACAACATCATCATTATACCATGGCTGAGTGCAGGGTTCAAACCTATGAGTGCAAATCATTAGAAGTTACGGTGACGATGATTTACCAAATGAACCACTACGATAGTACACTTTCTTATCAGAATTAAACTATATACAGTTGTTGACACGTTCAGTCTCAGATAATATGGCGACTTATCCTTTAATGGACTTTCCTAAGTACTGTTAGTACCAAATTATCACCCCAGGACAATAAATTGCTGAAATTATTTGACACATGACGTAAACAACAGTTGTCCTTGTTTTACGACATCCACTTTACGGCACAGGTGAAGGTAAGTTTCAATAAAACCCCGAAATACCGATAATTTCTACTTATTTCGTAATAAATTGCACATTAAATTTTATAATTATTGGATTAGAATGATACAAAAGTAAATAGAAAACTTTAGGAAAGCTTTTAAGGATGTATCGGCGATATCATTATCTCATTGGTTCCATAGTTTAAACAAACACAAAAGTGTTGTGATGAAGTTTCTAATGTTGCAATCGGCGATGAAAACTGAAAATTATATTTAGAATAAATATTTAATTGGTCGGTTAACGGCACCACTTTTCAAAATGGTTGTATTAAGTTGTGTTTTCCTTGTAAAAATAATAAGTTTTGGAATGTTAAAATAAAAAAAATAAGGAAAGTGTATGCATCGCATCTTGTTATTGGAGAGAAACTGCGCAGTAAGAGATGTTTACTTTATTTTATTATTTTTTTATATATATATTTTTTTTTTGCATAATTCAAAATTCCATTTGTAATTAGATGTGTGAAGTTGGCGGCCCAGCGGCCTGGCGGCGTGAGGTTGGCGGCCCAGCGGCCTGGCGGCGTGAAATTGGCGGCCCAGCGGCCTGGCGGCGTGAAATTGGCGCCCAGGTGCCTGGCGGCCAAAAATTTTAATGTTGTAGAAATGTTATTTTAACACTAAAACGGCATTTAATGAAATTTTAAAGATAATTAGTGTTATTTAAAGGATAATTCAAAAGAAAAAATCACTTTCAGAGAACTTTTTTATTTTGTCATTTTTGTGAAGTTGGCGACCTGGCAGCCCAGCGGCCTGACGGCCAAAAATGTCAATGTTGTAGAAATGTTATTTTAACAATAAAACAATAAAACATCATTTAATGAAGTTTTAAAGATAATTATTGTTATTTATAGGATATATCAAAAGAAAAAAAATCATTTTCAGAGAACTTTTTTATTTTGTCATTTTTGTGAAGTTGGCGGCCAAGCGGCCTGGCGGCCTGGTGGCCACAAATTTTAATGTTGTAGAAATGTTATTTTAACAATAAAACGGCATTAAATGAAGTTTTGAAGATAATTATTTTTATTTAAAAGATATATCAAAAGAAAAAATCACTTTCAGAGAACTTTTTTATTTTCTCATTTTTGTGAAGTTGGCGGCCTGGCAGCCCAGCGGCCTGACGGCCAAAAATTTTAATGTTGTAGAAATGTTATTTTAACAAAAAAACGGCATTTAATGAAGTTTTAAAGATAATTATTGTTATTTAAAGGATATATCAAAAGACAAAATCACTTTCAGAGAACTTTTTTATATTCTCATTTTTGTGAAGTTGGCGGCCCAGCGGCCTGGCGGCCAAAATGTCAATGTTGTAAAAATGTTATTTTAACAATAAAACGGCATTTAATGAAGTTTAAAAGATAATTATTGTTATTTAAAGGATATATAAAAAAATCACTTTCAGAGAACTTTTTTATTTTCTCATTTTTGTGAAGTTGGCGGCCTGGCAGCCCAGCGGCCTGACGGCCAAAAATTTTAATGTTGTAGAAATGTTATTTTAACACTAAAACGGCATTTAATGAAGTTTTAAAGATAATAAGTGTTATTCAAAGGATATATCAAAAGAAAAAATCACTTTCAGAGAACTTTTTTATTTTCTCATTTTTGTGAAGTTGGCGGCCTGGCAGCCCAGCGGCCTGACGGCCAAAACTTTTAATGTTGTAGAAATGTTATTTTAACAATAAAACGGCATTTAATGAAGTTTTAAAGATAATTAGTGTTATTTAAAGGATATATAAAAAGAAAAAAACACTTTCAGAGAACTTTTTTATTTTCTCATTTTCCATAGGGAACGAGCCTTGGCGTATTGGCGTTGGGATTTCCCTATCCTCTATCTAACCAAATGGTTGATTTTTTTTCTCACTCACCTGGACACACAAATATCAGTGAATCTACTTGCTACGCGCATTACAACGTACCTAGTTTTGAAAAGCGAGGGCTTAGGCGCCTGACTTTCTATGATTAAAAAGCATTATGTACGTCCGCAGAAATTCTACTGACCAATTTTATGTGTGATGCAAGGTTATCATGATAAAACACATCAATATTAAAGTCGGAAGGTGTCATAATATAAGTGTTTATAAGGAATTCAGTAGGTTGACAAATGGCGTTTAACGTCTACAAAGATGTTTCTACTTATTTGGTTATTTTGGCCGAATATTCAATTAAATTATATCAAAATGAGGTCGTCATTAAGAAGCATCTATTATTGAGAGATAATAAATTATAAACCCCTTTATCATTTTCGATAGAGGACCTTTTCTGTTCTAATGTTGTTTGAAACCGGTTTGTACCTTAAAGATTAAAGTGATAGCGTTTGTGTAGATGAGCTACGCAATTCGCGGGTCAGTGATTTCCCACAAATATTACGAAAATTTTTAAACAATATTTTTTTGTGTTTATTATTTATATCAGATACATAGGTAAATGTGTTGAGTACGTTTAAGATAATTATTTAGTGACGCAGTGGTCAAGTCCACTATAAGGGTGTAAAACATATTGTATTTATCATCTTTTAACGATATAAATAAACAAAAACTACCAATTTGCCAACCGTCCACTCAACGCAGTAGGTAAGATTGTCAGTTAAATTTCTAGTTGAATATCAATGCAATGCAGGTTCGATTCGCAAAAATTATTTTTGTATGAAGAACATTTAAACGCACTACGATTACATAATATTTATAATTATATTTTTACTTTTCTGATAATGCTTTCTCCTGATGTGTGGCGTTTTCTCTAACTGTACGCAAGTGCATATCAACCCGTGTCCAAAAAAATATCTGATGCATTTGTAACTATTTGAAACAAAACCGGCAAATAAAAAAAAGATACATAAGACAGCCAAATGTAATAGTACTTATATATATAACCATGATTCGACCATGAATATAACACTGAAACGTTCGCTCTGCCTACTGCGCTATCAAGGCACATAAAAATCTGACGTTTTACTTTGTGTTTTATTCATAAGGCATCAGCTTGCCTTACCTTTTTTATGGAAAGCCATGGCTGTCTTATATTGTTCTTTTTTACTTTATTTAACCATTTGGATAATTTATAAGTTCGCTTCGACTATATATGAATTGAGCACACCTTCTAATTTAACCGGAATCCATTATGTTAATCCACAGCTACAATATATGAAACCATACTGTCAGTGTATGAAACAGAGTTAGCAATATATAAGTTGACTTTCTCCATATATGATTCCAGTTCTTCAATATATGGTACCAAAGTAGCCATGTATGGAACCAGATATCCTGATATTAAACCGAGTTATCACAAATATTAATTCATTTTTCAATATATGAAACCAATGTATCAATTTATGAAACCAAAGTAGAAATATATAAGTTGGTAACACATTATATGATACCAATTCTTCAATATATTGTACCAAAGTAGCCATATATGGAACTAGATGTCCTGATATGAAACCAAATTTTCAATATATTAATTCATTTTTACAATTTATGAAATAAATTTATCAATGTACGGAACTAAAGTAGCAATATATGACTTGATTATAACTTTATATGATACCAGTTCTTCAATATATGCTACCAAAGTAGCCATATATTGAACCAGATGCCCTTGTATGAAACCGAATTATTTTTACAATATATGAAACCATAATATTAATG